GCGCCGCTTGACTTGGGAAAGTGTCCCTCAAGGCGGCAGCGCCGCTAGTTATCGAGGCCAGTCGCTTTGCTGCAGTTTGAGCGGCCACACGCAAGCGTCCAGCAAAGCACCCAGCTCAATGGAGCGGTCTGCGGACAGCAAGGCGGCAGGAGTGCCAGACTCTAGCGCGCCTGGCAAAGCAGCAAACGTGACGGCAGGCACACTGGCGTCCCATGACGCCACCTCTCGCCAGGTGGAACCGTCCTTGCTGGCGGAGCAGCAGAGTGTGCTCGCCGATGCTGATCACAGCAGTGCGTCGACAGCACCTGCTCAGCGAGCAGGCTCCAGACCGCCACTGTTCGTGGAGGTCGGCCGCCTTAGCAAGGCGGCCGTCGAGAAAGGTTTCTCGAATATTGCAGTGGACCACAGGGCCAAGGCCAGAGCCTGAAAGTCCTGCAGCTAGATCTCTGCACGCAGCTGGGTCGCATCACATGAGGACCTGAAATGGGTCCACTGGGCCCCGCCGTGCGGGACCATTCGAGCTGAGGCTGCTCTGGACCGGAATGACAGTCATGCTTTCTATAAGGTAGTCAAGCAGTTGGCACCACGACAGCCCAGGGAGCGTGTGCAGCTTCGGGATGACCACGGTGTAGTGTTGTCGGTTGAGGCCGAGCAGGATGCCATGTTGCAGCATTGGACCAAGGTGTTTGATCATCGTAGCATTCCTGTTCAGGACTGGGTTCTTTCTGAAGCCTTGGATGTCAGCTGGGATGAGGCGTGTCAGGCGATGCGAAAGTTGTCGGCACGTGAGGCTGTTGCGCCAGGCTGTGCGCCGGGTGCGGCTTGGAAGTTGCGCCGGATGAGGTGGTAGATTGTCTGCAAGCATACATGCAAGATGTCTGGTCTCAAGGGGTAATAGACTTGGATCCTCGCTTAGCTAGGGCGTGGTTGCACTTTCTGACCAAAGCCGGTCGGTTGTGTCGCAAACCAGGCGACTTGCGGCCCATTGCCCTCCAGCCGTCAGCTGGTAAAGTGCTGAGTATTGTACTGTGTGCCAGACTCCAACCACATGTTGATGCGCTGGCACAGGCATGGCCTCAATTTGCATACCTGCAGAGACGAGGCACCTCTGAAGCAATCACTCGTGTTGTTGCCCATTGCAGTGCCATTCGGGCCCAGCTAAAGGAGCAACAGCGGGACATTCATGCGAGGCATGCTGGGGTCCAAGTTAAACCCTTTGTCGGAGGGGCTCAACTGTCAATCGACATGAGTCAAGTGGCGTGCCTTGATCTGGGCTCGTGTTCCGGAACCGCTTGTCCAGGCCATTATGCAGCTCCATGAGTGCAGCAGCTACCAGTTGGGCCGCCCAGGTGATGAAGATACGGTGGCACACATTGCTGTGACCCGAGGGGTGAAACAGGGTGATATCATTGCCCCGGCATTATGGGTTGTATACTCCTGCTACGTCTGTTTTCGCACTGATGAACTCTTAGGTGCGTCGTGGTGCGATGATAATGCCACCATCTTTGCTGATGATCATCACTTCAGTTGGACACTTAGATCCTTTCACGATGGGGAGATCATGTGTGATCAGATTCAGGCCATCTTCACTCTGTATGCCTCGCTTGGTCTCTGTATCAATCCTGAAAAGTCTCACATGTTGGTTGCGGTCAAATGCCTGGAGGCGGCGCGATGGCTTCGCAAGCGTAGGGTCAAGCACAAGACTGATGCAGGTCACTGTGTGCGATACAACATGTACACCAAAGCGTACCTGCCTCTGCATCAGCAATTCCCGTATCTAGGGGTCGTACTGTCGTACGGCAACTACGAGGACCTTACCCTCAAGTATCGTTTGCAACAGGCCAACCTGCATCGCAACCGTTTGGCGAGAATCTTGCAAGGACGGGGGGGCTTATCGCTTGGTCGCCGACTGCGCATCTGGCATGTGTGCGTCCAGACTGCCCAACTTTACGGGTTGTTGGCCGTTGGTCTAACGACTTGGGGGTATCAACAACTGCACATCCAAACGCTGAAACACTTGAGAGCCTTGGCGCGCTCCCCACGTCATCTTACGCAGGAATCGGACAGCGCCTTTATGCAGCGCCTCTCCGTCGAGGTGCCTCTCCTCAAGCTTCAGCGTGGTGCACGGCAGTGGTTGGAGCGCCATCAGCAGGATCATCCGTTTCCCTGTTATGCTGTTGCTGCGGTTTGTGCGCGCGCTCAGTGTGTCCTTGCAGAGCTATCTACGCTGCAGCCCAGACGGCACAGGTCTTCGGGTCAACCGGCTCAGGAGGGCTCGCAAGCCCCTGATGGGACTCAGGCCTCGCATGCAGCTGCCACTTTGGTTGAGCTGCCGTCCATGCAGTCGGTCTATGAATGTCAGGAATGTGGACAGACCTTTCCCACGTTACACTTGCTGAAAACACACGAAGGAAAACGTCACAAGCTGCTGGCACCAGTTCGTCATTTTGATGCCACGGATCGGGCCTCATACTCCAAGGAGGGGTTGCCCATTTGAGGGTTATGTGATGATAAATTCAGGAAATGGGGTAGTCTCCAGAGGCACCTGAAGCGAAAGCAACCCCCCCCTTCTCGGGCCGAGATTGGGGGGGTTGCCTTGAGCCCATTTCCTGGAAGTTCAGAGCCAGCGCGATCCAGTGTGGTAGGGTCGGCTCCTGTCAATTCTGAGGCTGACCGATCTGATGATGCTCCCTCTGTTGCCGCTGCTCTGCCCTCAGTTCCCTCGGTGCCATCGGCTGCCTTATGTGGGGTGCAGGATTCTTCAGAACCTCAGCCGGGTTTGAATGCAGGTGCTCAACCGAAGACCTCGATCTGGCACAGCATGCCGCAGATTGAAACTGAGTCTCCGGATCAGCCTGTGATACCGTGGGCCAATGTGTTGGCTTTGCCTGCTCCTAGGCGATGGACCGATCTTGTAGCTGTGCCTGGTGTTGTGCAAAAATTGAAGCATCATTGCTCGATTTGCGGTCAGTGGCTAGCCACCTCAAACCAGATCAAACGGCACATTCGTCAGCAACATCCTCAACATCCTGAAATCATGCAAAGGCATGAGGCCATGCTCGTGCATGCAGGCAAGCAGTGGGCTCGATCGTGCGTTAGCCCGTGTTCAGTTTGTGGAGCGAGTATTCCGGACACGCGCCAACATGCAGGCAAGTGTGTTGTGATGCAACAAGCGTGTCTGATACAGTGCGAGCTCACGCATCGCTCAGGCGGAAGCAGCTCAGGCGTCAGCTCAGGCGTCCGTCCTATTCGGACATCTGCTACCGGCAGCCTCGAAGCTAGCGGAGATAGCGGACATGGATGCGGACCTCCCCAATGCCAAACGGGCCAGGGAGATTGCCAAGCCGGGAGCTCCCGGACCCAGGAAGGGGAATCCTCAGGGCGGCAAAAGGCCGCGGTCGCGGTCACCGACAGTGGGGCCGGGGGGGAGGGCAGGGACCCAAGATCTCGGACGGTACTTCCTTGGAAGAATTGGTGCGCCTCATGGCGCAGGAGATCAGTTACAGCGCCTGTCCTTAGACACCGGATTCTTCCTGATTCTTCAAACCCCTCCGCAACCAGGCTCGATCACCAACACGATGTTTCGGGTCACTTCGGCTTGGAAGAAGATGATGAAGGAAACCCCGGAAAAGCTCGACCGGCCTCTCCGCCAGCACATGATCGAATGCCTCTTCCTCGAGCTTGCGGCACGGGCTCAGTTGGTTCGGAAACCGGAGGCGAAAGCAGAGGCACAGCAACTGGGCATCATCAACGACAAAGTCGACTGGAACTACCGGATCTGGAACGCCACGACCCAGCAGTTGGAAGTCGACCAAAAGCGAATGCCCCTGAAGGCGGACACATTCCTGGAGCAGATCGACAAAGCCACGGCGATTGTGCGCCGACCGGATGTGATCACCCGCTTTCAGGCCATTGCCCCACTCTCGGAGACGACGGAGAACGCCAGCATTCCATTTCTGTTGGACCTCAGTCTGAGGGAGCAGGAGCTTCACAACATCATGTTGGAGTGGTGCGAGCTGGCGGTCTTCGAACTGCTAGCAGGGCGACTTCGTCGCGCAAGGCTCAAGCGTCCCGCGCAGCTGGAGAAACTTCAGGAGCTGTTGAATGCACTCTGAGTCGTGTGATCCTCAGAAACCCAGGAAATCAGTGTTATGCGAATGCGGCTTCAGCCCATCTGCTATGCTGGGCACAGGTTCGCCCGCACCCACCTGGGGCAGGTGCTCAGGGCTGTGCAAAATGCTAAAGTGTCGAAGGCCCTCACCCTGCGCAACTTGGCTGCGTGGTCCAGCTTGGCAGATCAGTGGTCGGAGCCCTATCGGCAGCATGACGCAGCCGAGTTCTTGCAGCATGTTCTGAGTTCGGTCGATTCCGTCCTCGCTCTCAGTCCATGGGAGGCTTTTCCGGATGGGGATGATGGATCACTCACGCGTGATCGGGGCTCTGGCGTTGTCCTCATTCCCATGCGTAGACCAGATCAGCAATTGCATCCGGACATCCAGGCCAGTGTGGACGACTGGCACCAGCAAAGGCACCTTCATGCGTTTCGCTCAGATGCCGAGTGGGTTGTACTTCAGCTTGACCGTTTTAAGGGTCGTGGGGTCTTTCAGGTTCGTGACAATGCCGCGCTGCCCATTCCGGGTCGCCTATGCTTGCCAGTGTGCACCTCTCGGCATGCCGTGCATCATCAGATTTATCACACCACAGCTGTGGTGTTGCACTATGGTGCTCAGGTGTCCTCGGGGCACTACCGTGTTTTGCTGATGGGGCAGGGGTCGGGGAATGCCGGTGCAAGTGCTGTGCATTACATCACAGATGACGACCGTCAGGCTGTGCGTTGTGGAACATCCGAGCTTGAAAATTTGGCGTCCCGAAGCTACTTGCTCTTCATGCAACGTGCGACGCAGCCTGTCCTGTCGGGTGATGCGCTCCATGCCTGATGCCGCCTCTCTGTCTGTGCTTGCTCCAGGGTCAGTGGGTTTCATTAGTGTTTGCGTTTCTACATGTCGCGAGCGCTTGATGTGACTGGCCATGCATTGTCTTCAGTGTCACATGCGGCGGATGCCGTGATGACATGTGGTGCTGCTGGGCATTTGCACTCTCCTGGGCAAGCGCAGTGTGGTGAGACATGGCAGCGTGTACTTTTGGGCATGCCGGCTTCCTTGATTCTTTCAGATGAGACTTTGGCGATGTACTTGGTCATTCGTGGTATACAGATATATATGATTCGTGATGCTGGTATCCGTATCTATTTTGAGCAGTTTCCAGCGGGCTTGGAGCATCGTCATGCCATCACTCGGCAGATACTTGAGGAACTTGAGGGTGCCGATATGTGGCACCACCTTGCATTCTTTCGTTTGATGCTGGATGGAGATCATAAGGAAGATTTCTTCGAGATGGCATATACACTTATTCTACATCGCATGCGGGAGGACCCTCGGCCGTTCCACTTGCTTGTTCGCGAAAGTGAATACTCATGGGCCTGGTGCGATGCTCTGGCATCTGATGAGACTAGACTGCTCTCCACTGCTTCGGATGTGGCTTCAGATGTTGCTCCAACTGAGCGGGATGTGGATTCCGATATGTCTCATGATTCCTCCGACTCTTTTCTTTATGACTCTGAGCTGTGAGGGTTGCTTAAGTGTAGGTAGGAGGTAGTGTTGTTGCCGCGGTTTCACATGTGAAGGCGACCACATTGTAGTTCCCACCTTTCCGTAAGTGTCACAGCGAGGGTGACCGCTTGTGCATCCCGAATCCCATGTTCAGTGTCTCGACTTTGCTTTGGGCTGGTGACAGCCTCTTTGCTTTGTACAGCTTCTCTACCATTGCAGCTTGCTTGCAATCTTTTGCAACTTTCGCGAATTTAGCTGCACTGCAGCCGGAACGAAGTTCTGTTCGTGTCACGTAAGATGGATCCAACCTGTCTGCGCTTCAAAGTCAAAAAAAAAGACCTTTCGCAGAGCCAGAGAAATCCCCAGGCCGGGAGCACCGGGTCCCCTGCGCAGCGAGTCGCGCCCAGCGGGCCTCAAAGGCCTGCGGGGGACAGACGCGGCCAGAGTTCGCAGCGCGAACAGCCTTGTAGCTTTCATGGCCTCATGTTGCCAGAGTCTGTCTCAGAGAGGCGTCTGCTGGTCGATCGAGAACCCGGCCAGAAGTCTGCTCTGGCGAATGCCGTGTCTTCGAGAGGTCCTGCGGTCAGCCCACAGAGTGGAGTTTGACGCCTGCATGTTTGGCAGCATGCGCCGAAAGCGCACGGCCATCCTATCGAACCTAGAATGGTTCTCGGGCCTCAGCAAGGACTGCGACGGAGGCCACAAGCACCTGCCGTGGGGCAGAGCCTCCGTCGAGGGGGCCACAGTGTGGTCCACTTCTCTCGAGAGCGCGTACACGACCCAACTCAGTTCCGTTCGAAGCTCATCCAGTGGATCGAGTCTACACAGAAGGCAGTGATCTCCATTCCTTTGCAGCCGCTGCACTGGGTGCGCAGAGCGCACCTCATTGATCACCCTGCCAGAGACATCGAGGCCGTGCCCTTGTCTCTTAAGCGCGCCATTTCGGCCGAGGTTCACCAAGACACAGTCTTCCTCGCAAAGCGCCGGACCGCCGCTTCTATGCACATCGCCAAAACTTGCACAGAGTGCAAAGCATCAGAGGCAGCGGCGCGTGTTTCGAATGATGCACAGGTCAACAGCGTTACCCTGCCGAAACAGACAGTAGCTTTAGAAAAGCTGCTGGGCGAAATTGGCTTCCCCGACACCGCCGTGGCCCGACAGGTGCGGGCAGGTTTCCCACTTTTGGGTTGGATTCAGCCCAGCGGGCTGTGGCCTGTGCAGATCCTGCCTCCATCGCTGGACGAGACGTCCATCCTGCAGAATTCTCACAGCATAGGCATGCGTGGCGTGCGCAGCGCGCTACGCCCCTCGGAAGACCGCGTCTCTGACAAAGTCTGGGAGACCACCCTCGAGGAGAGCGAGCAGGGCTGGCTATCCAACGAAGACTTTTCCCCTGAAAGCTTACACGAGACGATAGTATCGTCTCGTTTCGGGGTCGTGCAAAAGGGCAAGGTTCGCCCTATCGACAACTTTAAGAGCAGTTTCATCAACAGCTGCTGCGGCGCCACCGAGAAGGTACAGGTCGATAGCATCGACGAACTCCTTGCAGTGTGCTTGGAGTGGTTGCGCCAGGGTGTGCCTGCAGAGCAGGCACACCGCATAGTAGGCAGAACATGGGACCTAAAAAGCGCCTACAAGCAGCTTGCAGTGCAGGCCGCGCACAAGAAGTTTGCTTGCATTGTCATGGTCGACCCGAAGAGTGGGAAAGTTAAAATCGCCCGCCTGCACAGCATGCCGTTTGGCGCAGTCGCGGCAGTGCATGCATTCTTGCGCTGCAGCGAAGCGCTCAAAGCGATCGGGCGCGAGAAGCTCGCATTAGTAATGACGAGCTTTTTCGATGACTTCGCGGTCCTCACGCGCAGCGCGCAGAAGAAACTTGTGAGCTTGGCCGTGACCAGCATGTTCAACAAGTTGGGCTGGCAAGTCGCCACGGAGCCCAAGAAGAACGTCGACTTCAGCGAAGTCTTCGACGTTTTAGGCGTCAGGGTCGATCTCTCCAAACAGCACCTTGGAGAGATCTCCGTCCAGAATCAGCCAACCCGAGCAGCAGAGCTAGGGATGGCCCTCAGCGAGGCCCTATCACGAGGCAGCATGTCCCCACTGGAGGCGCAAAGCTTGCGCGGAAGGCTCATCTTTGCCGAGCAGCAAGCCTGGGGCCGCAACACTCGCGTGGCAGTGATCTGCGTAGGAGATGTGCCGGGGGAGGGCCCCGAGCAGGTTCCTCTAACTGAGCAGCAGTGCCAGGCCACGGCTTTTCTGCTGCAGCGCGTCGTGCACGGACCGCCGCGGACAGTGTCCATCCACACACGCAGGAAAGTCCACCTGTACATCGACGGGGCCTGCGAGTGGGAGACCCCCAGACTGGTGCCGAAGTGCGGTCTCGGTGCAGTGCTCATCGGGGAAGGTATCGCTTTCACCTGGGGGTTGAAGATCAGCGCCCAGGTGGCAGCCCAGTGGGTTGCCCGAGCTCAGAAGCAGCAGCTGGTGTACGAGTGCGAGCTCTTGCCTTACCTGCTGAGCCTTCAGATGTGGGCCACGCATCTAGCAGGCAGCGACCTGTTCGTGTGGATCGACAATGACGCAGCGCGTACGTCTTTGCGCAAGGCCTTCACACGTAAGGCAGAAGGTGCTGCGATAGTTTCGCAAGCCGTTGACCTTGAAGAGTCCCTGCAGTGCAGGGCTGCTTTCTTTCGGGTCCCAACAGACAGCAACGTTGCCGACGGACCCAGCAGAGACTGGTGGGAGGAAACTGAGAGATTGGGCGCACAGCGCCAGTTCCTCCCGCCCAACGCAGTGCCGTTGGCCTTGTCACTCGGCGCGGACTAGATGGGGGGTGAGTAAGGCTGGGGGTGAACCAGTCGTTCGCCTTACCCACGACCAGCGGTCGTTCTTTTCAGACTGATGCCAGCGGCATCCTTCGTTCCGATGCCCGAAGATCGGGCCCGAACTGACCCCCCATGTCCGCTAGGAGAAAAAAGAGTGAGTGCTTGCACTAGGTCACTAGGTTTAACTGCAGCGCGGTTAAGGGTTACCCGTACACGCGGCTAACGGAAGTTTCGTTGGGAAATAAGCTCCCATCATGCGTGCGTGAATGGGTTTTATTTCCCGCCGAAAGTGCAGACAAAGTTTTGTCGAAAAAGGAAAACAGTGTTTTCACTTGTGTGTTGAGAACACTAGACAAACTTTGCCGTGCAGCTTTCGGCTTGAAGTGGATCGGTGATCCAAAAGTTTTTATCCCACCCGCCACACCCTGTATAGTATGCGGGGTCGGGGACCACGCTTTTGGCAGCAGAGCTGCCGGAGCAGAGCTCCTTGTTGTATCTCTAGCAGAGATCTTGTCTTCAGCAGCGTGCTTTGCTGTACATAGGCCGTAGGCCGTCAAGCACGCAGAGTAGCTAGTAGTAGAATGCAGCGACCCTGTGGGTCGAAGAAAGTTTCACCTTTGTTTCCAGTGGTACTGAGACACCCCTGGTAGGGGGTAGGAGGGGGGGGGGGTGAACCAGTCGTTCGCCTTACCCACGACCAGCGGTCGTTCTTTTCAGACTGATGCCAGCGGCATCCTTCGTTCCGATGCCCGAAGATCGGGCCCGAACTGACCCCCCATGTCCGCTAGGAGAAAAAAAGAGTCAGTGCTTGCACTAGGTTTAACTGCAGCGCGGTTAAGGGTTACCCGTACACGCGCTAACGGAAGTTTCGTTGGGAAATAAAGACAGAGTGATGCCAAGTTAGCAATCACGCATGAGTGCACAGTGCACAGCAACACAATTCTCGGAACGCTAAGCAGCGACATACCCAACAATGCAAATACAGCTTTTTTTTTCTTTTTTCGAAGCAAGACCTCGAATAAACATGCCTCTGTAACTTCACGAGAATTCAAAAGTCTCTGTTTTACCCATTGGTCGGCAAGTTTAGCCGTTGGGCAGCGTGCATCCAAGGAGCTTCTACTGTCTGACTCAAGCCGAGAACAAGGCATCCAAATACTGGGAATTGAATTGTATCTCTGTATGTCTCCCAGGATCGTGCTGACATTGCATTCACGATACGCATGCTTGCGCAAGAAGCCGACTGAGGTGTGCTGGCATCACGGTCGTCACAACGATTGGCTGCGTACAATGTGCACTTTAAATTACGCAATCCGTGTGCATGCAAGCGGTCGCAGGCTGAGCATTCTTGAGTCAGAAAATCACGAGAACGTGCATGACAGTGTTTGTTGGAAGTCTTCTGTGATGCCGACTGGAGTGGCGATAAGCAGAATCGACGTTCAATAAGCAGCAGCTCATTCTTCATCAACGCATGTGGTGTTTACACGTCATGCTGCAGCCAGCGCTGCCTGAGTCTGAGCAGTACCGAGAGTGAGTTTTACGTGCTTATTTCATCTGCCGCTTGTGATGGAATCTGCCGGAAAAGAATCCTGCAATTCTTGCTGGAGCAGGCGGTGGCCTCGGCGCAAAGGTGCCAGCGTCAGTACCGCTTGAAAGCCTTGCTCTGCATGCATGATTTTGTCAAGTGCATCGAGGATCTTGTTCATGAGGTAGGACGTGCAGAGTGTGATCAGCTTTTGCAGTCGTGACACCGCGCGCGTGCGCAGACTTGTGAGCAAATCCTCAAAGGTGAATGGACTGAACCGCATCACCAGTGCCATGATGGTAATGATGTTGTCGCTTGCTGAAGGAGCTGAGGCCAGTGTAACAAGCAAGATGCATCTGTTCAAACAGTGACAGAGTCCAGGTGGTTTTCTGCTTATATACCTTTTCGGTGTCATTGCATTCGCCATTGCCTTGCTGTGTGTTGCGAAATCTTTGAGCCTTGAGCGGCTATGGGGCCATGGCAACAACAGCAAGAGTGCGGATGAGCAGGAACCAACTTGTGCAATGCCAGAGCCGGCAGTGCCAATGGGCGATGGTGCATGATCACCACAATCCTGTGCAGTGTTTCTTCGCTTTGCTCCCTGATCCTTAAAGTTGTGAGTCCTATTTGGCATCAATATTGAATGACCTATGCGACTCGATTCGACGGTTGTGGAGCAGCGAACCTTCAAGAAGGTGTTTCCCTTCACACGGTAACTGGGCCGTGTCATGTGTGCCGTGTGACATCTTCAAGAGATGTGACATCCATCATGGGGCGCACGTCGCGCATGTGCCTCATGAATATGTTGACTACGGTGTGCTTGAGAGCTTAAGACTTCCTCTTGCGCCAGTCAAGAGACTTTTCGTCACGGGCTGACCAAGTCCGCTGATGGAGAGACTGCGTAGTTGTACAGTTGAGCCTAGCTTGGTAGCAAAACGCTGTCGGTATGTAGGTTCGCTACTGATGATTGTACTCGTACTGCAAATACGAATGCTCAGATGCAACACGCATCTGGACCGGGTGATCAACATTTGTGTTTCTACTCGTACTCTTATTTCGTCTAGACAACTTGTAGCTTTTGGACCACAACTTTGTTGTGCATGGAATAACCATGTAGGCTCAGAGTTCGTGAGAAAGAGAAGTGTTTTCACTTTCCTTGGGTAGTTTGGAGCGACGGCTCCTCTCTATACTCCTGACCAGCTGCTGAGTTAGGCCGTAGCATGGCAGGGAACTGAACGGCGACAGTCGGCAAAGTGTGCTCGCCGCAGTTCTTTTTCGCCGACTAGGTACTTGTGCTCTTGTTTCACCGCTGGTTTCGTGGTTTAGATAAGGACCGAGTGCAGCAGCCGCTGCGAAGCCCGCCCAAACAAAAAATAACAGTTTGTAGCCCTTGTTCTGTTCGAAAACAAAGAGATCACGCGAGTCTTGTTGACAGTTCTCTTCGCTCGCTGCGTTCGCTCTGTCCCTTAGTCCGCTCACTCCGCTCACTTCGCCGCTCCGTTCGCTCCGTTCGCTTCGTTCGCTCAGTTCGCTCCGCTCGGGTCCGCAGTCTTCGAGTTGCGGAATCGCTCCGAAATTTTCGGGCCAGGCCGATGATCGATGCGTCGGGCCTCTGAGCCTTGTGTCGATCTTTCCTTTTTGGTCAGAAGCCGTACGCTCAACACTTTTTCGATTTTGAATCAGGTCCCTGGTGCACGATCTACAGTCGAGTGAATGGGAGAAATGATTTTGAATTGGGTTTGGTTTGCAAAGAGAACGTGGCATGGAACTCGCTTGGAACAGTTGCAACATCGAGCCCCTTGCTTCTCGGCATGGTGAGCCGGAAATCGCAGACGCTGCTTGTTTTTGAAGTTTTGCAGTTTATTGCAATCTTGAAGGTTTTGGATTGGTTTTGTTCTTCAGAATTTTTCCATGATGGCAGGCACTTCCGAATTGAGCAGTTTACAAATGATCACAATCCAGCCATTGCTGTTCTTTTTGTGGCCCGGTGCGCTTTGGCTGGGCGGGACCATGTCAGGGCGACGTCCCCCTGGAGTTTCTCTAAGTGACGCCGGTGCTTGAATTGCCACGACATGCTCTTTGTTCGGACGTTGCATGAGACTTGCCAGGCAGGAGGTTTCGAAAGCTGAGGGCAGACGGCTTGGCCTTCGATTGGAGTTAAGGACCTTTCAAAGAGAGTCCTGGGTCCATCTGTTTGAAGTTGCAGAAGCGAAGAGGCGAATGAACCCTTCTTTCCATTTGCCCCTTTTGAGACCCGGTGAAGGAGTTGGTTGAGTTAGTTTATTGGAAACGCCGATGCGGGTCTTATGCAGCTCATGCGACCAAGCGAGCCCCGCGCTTCATGCGAGGGTTTGCGCGGTCCAGTTCCAGTTTAGGTTTGCGCACAGTATAGATGTTCTGCTTTGAGAAGGCTCAGCTGGTGGACATCAGATAGTCTTTATTGAGCCTTATTGTGCATGGCCTGGAATTTGCGAAGCATCGCACTCACAGGACAGCGGGATGATTCATGAAGCCCTTAAGGTCAAGTGGGACCGCCCTGGAAGACGTTCCCAGCACGCGGCAGCCTGAGCTGAAAATTCGTCTTGTCCTCAAAGCCAAAGCCCGGTTAGCGGCTTTGAATCTTTTCTTCTGTAGCAGTGGGGATCGCTTTTAGAGACGTCGTTGCCAGGGTCACCATCACGTGATTAAGCCTTCATGATCCTTCTTTATGTCTACGCAGCAATGAGCACGCAGCCAGCGCCCGCAAGAAAGAGCCCTGCTCAGACGTTTGCGGAGCCGTGGAATAGTGCTGGTAGGGTGCGGCCGGTGCTTCTTGGGATTTAGTAACTAGGGTTATAACTAGGGTAACTAGGGTAACTAAACTTATAACCCCAATTAAGGCATTTATCATCGTACTTACTAAGTCCCATGATCCCCCTTATAGATCCCTATAGATCCCTTTAAGGATTATAGAACCCTATAGTACCCTTATCAAAAGGAACCACTTATATACTAAGTCCCATGACCCTCCAAGATGGGCCTGGAAGCTCGGCTCCCGAAGGTTTTTGGAGGGTCCCCCCCGTGCCTTCGTCGCGAGAGGAGGGCCGCCAGAAAAGGCTTGAGGTTCTTGTTTTTTTTTTTTTACTGAGGTCGGGTTTCGGCATTTTTTAGCTGAGCTCAGGTTTCGGCATGGTACTGGCCTTTTGGCTCAGAAGGGACCTTTGAGGCTGGACTCCGCGCTCCCTCGGCGAAGGGGCCAGGGCCCGGCGAGAAAGAAGGGCCATTACTTAAAGGATCATGGGACTTAGTAAGTAAGGTTATAAGTACCCTAAGTGGGGTTATAAGTATAGTTACCCTAATTATACCCCTAGTTACTAAGTCCCATGATCCTTTAAGTAGAGTTGACCAATGGCATCCGGAATGCCAGCGACCAGGAGGAGACTTGGAGATTGGAGACTTCTTCCGCTGAAGTTTTCCACCTGTCGGATCTTTCCTCCTGGAGCCTAGATGGCTACCGTAGGGGGGTCGTGGGGCCTCTCGGGTGACGCAGAGTGCGCAAAATGCCAGGATCTTCAGGAGAAGAACCTCGACGAGGCCCAAGAGCTCGACAGGCTCGACCCGATGAAGAACCGGATCTTGGCGTTGAGGATCATCGTGGGCGTTGGAGTCGCTTTTGGGGCCTTCCAAGCTCCCTGGCGAGCTCTACCAGTTCTGACCGGAAGATTTTTGCGGACCCTGCCTTGCTACCGCGCGTGAAACCTTCTCGGTGCAGTCGCTCTGCATCCCAGGGTATGCAAAGGCTCGTTCTGAAGCAGCTGCTAGTCCTGCTTGGTGTTACGATGCTGTTTCTCTCCGTGGCTACCGGCCCTTACGTCACCGTGCTCAGCATGACCTTGCTCTGAACTGTGAGGCTGCTTGACGGCCCAAGCGCTGCTGCCCAGAGCTCTGGCTTGGAGGAGGCCGAACCCATGAGCCGCTCCATGCACCGAGATTTGTGTCACCCAGCACTTTGCTTCGCTTGCACAGTCTTCGCTTACTACGGCTTGAGCTATTATTCCCCAGACTCCCTCTCTACAAATCCTTTTCTCAGCGTCTGGCTCATCAATGCCTCAGACATACTTGGGAGTTTCCGAAAAGTAGGAGTGCCTTATTTTGGGGTCCTTATAATAAGGATCCGACTATTTAGGGTAGTATATTAGGGTACCCTATTCTCGGAAACTCCCACTTGTATGTGTGCTGTCCAGCCGCGCGGGGGCCTTTGGCCGAAACCGAGCGCAGATTTGTGGCTTGATCTGGCCGGCGCGGGTCTGATTGCTTGCGCTATGGGCACCGTGGCCAGCGATTAGAATAGGGTTTGGGGCCCACCATACTATTGGTAGTTATTCAGGCCCCTACAGTGGGAGCCTTCTTCTTTCTTCGATTTGAAGTTTGGTGTTTTTGTTATAGGATCCTTATAAGGGAGGGTGGTTCAAGGGGGGAGGGTATAAGGAATCCTTACGGGACTGTAAGGGAACCTTAGGGAGTACTAGGGAGAATTAGGGATCACTAGTCTATATACCCCCCTTGGACCCCCCTCCCTTAAGGATACTACAATTTTGCGAGCCGCTGAATCCGCTGAACCCTTCAGGATCTCCGTGGCGATCCTGGCGCAGGTGGCCTTATCCGTGGCGTTTGTGACCATCTACGTTGCCTTGGCGGAGATCTTCCCGCCGTGGTGTCAAAAGACAGCCCTGCCTACGTGTGAGATCATGGCTTGGGTTGGTGGCTGCTTCTCACCATCAATTTGGGGCTCTGCCAGTGCATCCTAGCATGCTTGCTGGCTGCGAGGGCATCCGCAAAGTTGCCAGCGCTGGCTTCTGCTTTGAAGTCAGGACATGCTCCTCAGACCTAGTTTGAGTGGATCGTTTTTTCTCGCTGCTAGCTATCTCCGCGGCCTGGAACTGAGCTGAGCCTGGCTGATGTCCTGAGCTCAGCTTTCTTCCGGGATTACGGACGGTCAGGGGGATCGTGTAAGGTCAGCGAAGCTGCCATTTTGACATGCCCCGTAATGGGGAGAGACGACATAGGAGACCCCTGAGAGCGCTAGCTTTCCAAGTCCGGCCAAGCCGCTTGAGACGGGCGTGCGCGCGAGTTCCATGGAAGAGCGACAGCTTCATCTCTTCTCCTGAAACGTAGTCGTAGTGGGATCCTGCCTAGCCGCCCAGGCTGGTGTTGGAGTGCTGCTAGAAACCTCGCCGTGCCGCTGCGACTCGGCTTCGAGCAAGGGAGCCTGTGTGGCCAAGGTTGGCTCCCTTTGTCAAAGTCTCCATTGACATGTCTTTGTCCTTTTTGCGTGTGTGTGTTCCGAGACGAAAAGGGCGGGTGTGGCACTTCAAGTGGGGTGGGCAGTGTAGGAGGAGACGAAATCAAGGCATTCTCCGGTCAAGTGCATGAGCCGGGCTTCCCAAAAACACACTAGCACGGTTCCACCATTCGGGATATCACAGGAGCGTATTGCAAACTCTTGCTTGGCCGTGCCTTGCGTACCGCCCTTTCTTGCCAGCAAGGCAGCTTGTAACCAACCGGGAAGCTGTCCAAACTATGGCCCCCCTTTGGAGTACCCTAAATACTGGGTGCCGTATTATAGTAGGGAACCAAAAAAAGGGACCCTAATTTTGACAACCTCCCAACTGAAGAGCCCGCCACCGATCCCTACAGGTGCATGCAGGAAAATGCAGAGGGCGCAGCCGCAGTTGTACAAAGTCTTCCGGGCTGACGACGAGGCGTGACCATCAGTATCCATGATTCAACATGGTGCCGTGAACACAGGACGCCTTAGACTCATCATTAATCGCAGCTCGTGTTCCAGTTTTGTCCTTATTCAAAAGCATTTTGGCTCACAGTGTAGGCCAGCCATGGCGCAAACTCCTATGCGGCTCATCGCATTTTTCCTCGCCGTGGCCAGTGCAGAACACTGCAACTTCAGCCAAGCTGATGAAGTTGACCATGCTTCGCACATGCAAAAGTGGCCCCGTCAAAATCGTTGGTTTTCGCATCATGCTCACCGGTACTATCAGTACTACCAGCATCAGTACGGCCAACATGTTACGACTACAGCCGCTGGTGATGCAGGGGCAACAGTGACCACGACAGGTGCCGATGCCAGTACTTCCAGCACGAGCATGCCTACAACGTCACCTCGTGTTGAGGGAACACTTCCAAACGACACCGTTGTCGCAACATTTGCTATAGTCCCGTTTGCTCAAGTCAATCTCACGGAGTTCCTGCTTGACTTCAACTTGACAGAGTTCACGCAGAACGTGTCTGCAAGTACAGGTGCTGAGGTTGTAGTCTCGGAGGTTGAGCTCTCGGGTCAGACGAACTTGACCATCAATGGCACGAGCAATGTGTCAGAGGCTGATTTCCGAGCTCTCATCCAAGCTGCTTATGCGGAGTTGCTCAATGTTTCGTTGAGCGACGTGAAAGTGCTGTTGTTGCCTTCGCCTGATCCGTCTTTGCTCCAGACCAGCCCCATCTACCATGTCTACACGATTCAGTTCAGGGCCCGTACTAATGCGCACCATGAGCAAGAGGATATGGCTTGGTTTCTCAGATGGTCGGCAGACATCACCGTGGATCAGGTGCAGCAACATGTGGAAGCGAGGGACGGAGACATTGTCGACATCAGATGGGTAAATGACGATCCGTTTACGTACGACTTCAATGTGGAGCTGAGGGTCGTGAAGTACGGCTCGGATGGCGACCAGGCTCCTGAGGTTTTCTTTGACAGACTTTTCGAGACCTATCTCTCCTTCCACACGTCGCTTGGGAGATATCATGTTGGTGATGTTCAGGTGGTTGAGAAGATCGGATGGACTGATGCAAGCTCCCTGGCATCTACAGACATCTGTGGGGATGGCGACGTGAGGTCTTCGGACGAAGGCATTTCAAGCGGGACGGCTTTCGCCCCATACATCTATGATGATTTTGCCTGGTACCCAGTTTGCAAGAAAGACATCAACCACGAAACAGCGACCAGCTTCTGCAAGCAGTTGGGGTTTGATGCAGGTGAGTCTGTGGCCTTGTCCGACCACCTCTTAACCCATTCGATGCAGGTTGGCAGCTGTCATGTCGGTGAGTTAGCTCCAGCCTGTACGGCGGGTGGCAATACATTCCCGACTCTTCCAACAGAGGGATGTGGCCCAGGTCAGAATGGGATACAGTTCCAATGCACCACATCTTCGAGCTGGTATGTCACCCAGGAGTCGACGTGCAGGAAGCAAGCGATTCGAATTCCACCGTCCACTTGCCAGACGCTGACAGTGGAGTCAGGCGATGTGAGCCTGCTTGAATGCATGCATTCTGTGCGAGAGAGCAGCAACATCTGCGGCGAGATCTTCTCCTGGTCCCAGGGCTCCGGGTGTAGTTGCGCCAGAAGAGGCTGTGACTCTACCTCCGACTCCGCCTCAACCAGCGGATCCACCTGGTATCGGATCTATCCAGGCTACCCTAAACCCTAAACCCTAAACCCTAAACCCTAAACCCTAAACCCTAAACCCCTAAACTATCCAGGCTACTTCTTCAACGACCATGGGCCTGGCATCTGTACTCCTGGAGCCTTCTTCACATCGGAAAGCTGGGCTTTGGCCGATAGCTCGGAAGGCAACAGAGTTGCCCTTTCACCGGAGTTTATGGCATGGGTTGGTGAAGCATGGGTTCGCTGCACCGAGAAGGATGGCCTCACTCGCTTCGTCTCGGTGTGGGAGGATGCAAAATTTGCTTGCCACACGAATCAGGGCGAGTGTTTCAACACTCCCAGTACGGCTGTTCGCAGCTTTTCAAGGCAATGGCAGGTGGGAGATTCTGTTTCCTCGGGCTCCTATGGATGTGGCACCGTTCAGCAGCGAAGGATGACCATGGGACAGGGCTTGGCTTTGCTCGTCAACTTTCCGAGCCAGAATGACGTGGAGATTAGTTGGGATGCTGCGGAGCACTGCGACTCGGCTGCATGCCGCGCTTCGAGTGGAGAGATATCGGCAGGGAATAGGAAGTGAGAGACATCTTTCCTACACGTCTGACACTCCACCACATTGACAGCATGTCATGGTTCGTGACGATGACCGTAGGCACTGCAACACACCTCGCTCGTTAAGTGACGTCCGAGGCACCACCACAACCACAACTGCCCTGCCATCCTGCAGCCAACTGCAAGATATTGCTTGCACCTACTCTTCTCCCAGGTGGGAATAGGTTTCGCTTGTTTTAGACAGAGACAGCTCCAAGAACCCGAAACCCTAAACCCTAAACCCTAAACCCAAATAAGCTTTAACTTCTGATCATGTGAAGGTGTGTCTGGGACGATCAGAGATCATCATGCCACGAGCGACCTGACACCGCCAAGTACTATCTGGTACCCAAAGGCACCGAACGCCCATGGTGCAGCCGGGTAAAGAGCCCTAAACCCTAAACCCTGAAGGCACCGAATGCCCAGAGTTCGGCCGGGTAAAGAGCAAATGGGAACTTTGTCATAGTTGGGTAACATTTTACTGTTTTTATGGGTACTTAGACCCAAGAAGGGATGAAAATGTACCTATACAATTTAGGGGGTCCTTAATATAGTTATAGTATCATAGGTCCGAAAACCCCCATTTAAAAAGTACATTTTTAATCCTATCCCAACAATGATCTAGGAATGTGACATCGCGCAGCAGGAGCTGCAGGCCGCCGGACTGTTGATCAGCATTTAGAAAAATCACTAGAACATTAAAACAAGCCAGAACAAACGATACTGTGATGATCTGTGCTGCAAGGCCACCTATGGCTACACTGCTGGACGCAGTATTGTGGTCGGTGGGTTTGCTGACTTGCCTGCGGCTTGCTCCGTGCAGTGGACAGGCATGGCACGGCTTGAGTGTTGTGGGTCATGAGGGCTCTGCTTGCTCTGTGTGGGTGGCATGCATTCATGCTTTAGGGTTTAGGGTTTCCGGGTCAGGTGGTCGCACCGCCCACTGGAACGCGGCGTATGACTACAATGGCCCAGCACCACCGGCTTGCACTGAGAATTGGAGGGCTCGCCTCGCCAGCGGTGAGTTTCGAGAGGTCTGCCGTGGAGCGCCTGTCGAGGAGTTCAAGTGCGCCAATGAGGAGAACGGGGTTTTGGGGCTTTGCAGGTGTGACGGCGATGCCTTCTACGGCAAGAGATATGCTTCAGGTCAGCCAGGATCTGGCGCGGAAAGCACTTTCGCTCAGATGACACAAAGCAGCTACGCAGAAACAGGTGCGGACTTTCCCACGGACTGTTTGCAGCAACTTAGCCGTGCTAAGTCTTGTGGAAAGTAATTTGGGAGTTCCCGAAAATAGGGGATCCAAATGTAGTACCCCAAATAGTAGGATCCTTATTGTAAGGATTCCCAAATACGGTACCTTTAATCTTCGGAAGCTCCCATTTCTCCGAAGCTTTGCCCTGACAGACTTCGGATCTGCCGGCAGCGGTCGATGCAGCGTCTCCGCGTTTGGTCGGGACCCCACCCCGGGCTTCTACAAGCACTGCTACTGCAGAGAAACCGGGATTGGATCACATGGATCATTTGAATCGGCTACAGCACTGGTGAGGCTGGGGCCACGTGCTTACTCGCCGTATGTTTGCGGGTTTGAGGGAGAAGTGTGCCAATGTTTTGGCACAGTATGGTACGGCAAGAAGCATATACGAGGGCAGCCAGGAGACGGGCCTCTGACGACGCTGGACCAGCTGCTGGAAAGCGACCACGGGTTCCTGGACCCAAATCCGCCGACTCCTCAAATTATTACGTGTAGCCCCGCTGCTTTTGGCAAAGATCCCAATCCCGGCTTCTACAAGCACTGCATCTGTGAGCCATATGATGATCGAAGCATAAATCCTTTGGCACAGTTTCGGTCCCCAAAAGCTGAGATCTTTGATGCGCCTTCACCAGGCTTGTCCTATGTTTGCCCCTATGATGGTGGGAAGATCTTGGAGGATGCTGGTTGGAGGGTCTTTGCGTACAAGGACGACAGTGGGGCGGAATTCATTCGGGGAGAGAGAACCTACGATCAACTTGCACTTCCAGCTCTGTTTCGCAGAAAGTTCCCGCTTCTGTTTGTGATGGACATGTTATCGAAGACATGTAAGATTGCATGTTCATGTTTTTTATGGTCTCAAAGCAAGGTAGATGTCGCAGCGGCAGACCAGTGGTGTGATTGGAGCTTTAGGTGCTCAAGAATACCGGAGGAATCCAACTGGAACTCCAGGATGCAGGATTGGGGCCCGATCACTCTTTCACCAAATCGACCCAATCTCGACTATCCTGGCACCTGCGTCACTCTTGGCGAAGGCATCCACAACATTCAGAAGGCAGGTCCATATGACCTGCGTATCCGGTACATGAGGTTGTCGACCTGCACAACCTGTCCTCCGGCCAACTTGGACCCTTCCCGCCTTGGCATCAAGCTTTGCTCTTCTCCGTCGAGTTGCGAGAGCTCTTGCTCTCGTGAGCCATCTTTGTCCTCGGATCGCACGATGATCGTGACCTGCAATCTGTCCGGCTTCCCCATAGCTCAAGTCCAGTTCCAGGTCACGACTGCTCCTGTGACGATTTGTGAACTGACGGTGTTTGGAGGTGATCGTTGATGCAGGTCCCAGCACAAGATCCAAATTTTGGTCTTTTTCGCCTTCGTGGCGGCTTTTAATTTCTAGTCACTCTAAGTCTCAATGACTTCAGCCTCCTTATGCTCCTCTGATTGGAGCATCGATCGCTTAAAGAAACAGCTCAGCAAGCGAATGCGAATGCCACTGAGCAGCTACTCGCCAGACCTACTCGCCAGACGTGGCGATACCTGTCAAGCCGACAAAATGATCAGATTGCTTGTTGGCTAAAGCGTCTCCCCGGTGCCGCTCCAGCTTGTTTGCTTCAGCGCCCTGTCGATTTCATACGTGTAAAGCAACAGCTGCCGTCTCTGCAAGGCTGCCGGTGAACCGTTCTGCACCAAAGGCGGGGCAGTAGTTGGGGCTCATGGATACATTCCTCCCGCAGCCTGATGTGAGCAGGTCCACCCGGGGGTTTCGCAGCAACTGCCTCCTCAAGTCCGGAGCTAAGGAAACCCCAAAAACCGCAGCTTAAACTCCCCACAGACTGGAAGCATGTTTGGCAGACCGTGCTTTGTGCTCCGGCATCAAGTCGTGAAGAAGTCTTGAGGCATTTTCAGGTTTCTAGGTGAGCACTCGCAATTTCTTGGGTTGAACTCGGGGATTTGGAGAGGCTACCTGTGGTGCAGGTTGGCAACTTCAGCGCCGACTTCGCCTCAGGCACCCAGCCCTGGGCCCCAGTTTCCCTAGTTGGCGTGTGTCAAAAAGAGTCCTTTGCAGAGCCTTCCGAAGTCCCGGCCCGAGACAGGCCTTTGGGATCCTTCCGGCAACTGGGCGATTCCCGAGGAGCACACCGTATTTGTCGCACTCTTTCGACCACGCTTCGAGAGCAGCAGACCTGGAAGAACAGAGCCATGCTCCCAAACCCTATACCCGAAACCATAAACCCTTAAGCAGCCTCTGCTTGGAGCTGCGAAGTGGAGAAAGAGCCATTGCACTTTAAAAAAAAAGAACCGTTAAGCAGATGCCTTTTCCGCTAGCATTTGTTTCTGCTCCGCCTGGCAGGAGTATCGGGAGGACTGGACTTGCGACTGCCCCAACTGCGAGGATGAGGAGTTGCTGCTCGCCTGTGAAGAAGTAGGAAGTCTTTTCTTGTAATAATACAAATAATAATAATACGAATACTAATAATACTACTAAGTCTAATACTAATTTCAGTGATATATATATAAATATAAATATATATATATATATATATATATATATATATATATATATATACATATATATATATATATATATATATATATATATATTTATATATATACTAGTTATAACGGCCATTGGCATGGGCCCAAGGTTTTCCGTGCTTTTTCGACCCAGTGATTGAGCAGCGAACCGCAGCGAGAGCATCATCAGCATCAGCGCTCTTTGTCCAATTTCCTGGTCGTTGAACCCACAAACCGCCGTAGCAGTTCGACCCATCGATTGCAAGGATTTAACGGACTGCAGCTCGAGCATCATCAGCATCAGCTGGATCTCCTTCCAAGCTCTCCGTCCGATTTCCCAGCCGTGGCATCAGTGTTTGAGCGGATTCAAGCTCTCTGTCCGATTTCCTGGGCGTTGAACCCACAAACAGTCTCAGCAGGAGCAAATCGCAGCACGAGCATCATCAGCACCAGCTGCATGTCCTTGCTAGCTCTCTGTCCCGTTTCCAGGCCGTTGAAGCCACAAACAGCCGTGGCAGTTTCACGTAGTAATTGAAAGGATTTAGCCCATGGCACCGAAGGAATTCATCGATGCTGTGGCAGAGGTGAGGCATCGCCGGTGCAAGCGACTGAGAGTGTCGAAGCCGTGTTGTGCAAGCAGAAGCCCCTTCTCGACATCCTCTTGTGAGGTCAGCAACCTGGGTGTTGCCTGCCGCAGTGACGCAATGTTGCGCGAAGCCCTAGCCGGCATGCCGCATCCTCGGCGTGCCGGGACTCTTCGTCCGTGGAAAGCGCAAGCCAGCCGGAGGTTCCTGCAGCAAGCAGTGCCTGTGGGCCTGAACTTGGCGCTGGTGGAGCTCGGGCGCCTGCCGTGCGTCGACAGCCTGGAGGACAGTGACTGTCAGGCAGCACAGCAGGAGCCAACCCGGAGCATGTGCTTAGACGTGGTCACGAACCATGCGGTAGACGGCCAGCATTTCTCCAGGCCCTGGTACTTGCAGCCAGTGCAGCAAGAAAAAGTGTGACTCGCACAGGTTCCTGTCCGGTGCGTCGGCTGCAGAGGAGCTGATCCGATGCTCTCAGAAAGCGGGGCACTCACGAGCATGCGCAGCCAAATGCTCCGTAAGGCCACTGCACCTTCATGAGGTGACATGTTCCACTCCAGACGGCTTTGCTTGTCAAACAACCAAGTTTTTCAATAGACTTGCGTGCTAAGTGCCACAATTGAACTTTTGTTGAAATGCTCCGTTCCCCTCTGCACTTTTTGCATCGCTGCCGTCCTCCGTAGAGAAAATGCGCGTGTCCGTAGTTCTGATTTAATTGGTAGTTCTGTGCCTAAGCAGAGAGGACCGCCCTCCATCAAGCGTGCTAAGCCTGTCACGAAAGCTCATTTCGTTCATTTCTTCCTGATTTTCGTGAGGCTGGCAAGCAGATGGTTCCCAGGAAATGAAACGAGGTGATACGAGGTGTCAGTCCAGGCCTTGGCGTTTCAAGAGCTCTTTTCCTCCCTTTTTCTTCAGGCCAGCATGGAGCCCTGGGCGCCGTAGACAACGAACCGGTGCGCGCCAGACCAAAGATACCAAAAAGCTGGACGTGACGGCATTTCCTGCACTTAGGGCGATTACCATGCATCTGCGTGGCTTTTCCTGAACAAGAACTTCTTCTCCAAGTTACAGCTGTTCTATGCACGTTGCTGTGTGCTCCTGTCACGAGTTGAAATTGTTCCGAAGTCCCTTTGGATCAAGCCGCAGGTGCATTGGGATTGGAGGATGGGTGGATCTTGAGCTGAAAAGAGAAAGCATCTGTTGCATGGTGGGCTAGCTCAGGAACCCCGAGCCCTCAGACCCCGAAACCCCAAGCCTTCAACCCGCGAATCCCGCAGCGCTGAACCCCCGAACCCAGCATTCACCGAGACTCTGTTTCAAGACTGAAACGAAACCCAAGATCTATGGTGGTCGAGCCATGCCGCTGTCCAGGCCGCTTTGGCTTTTGGGTCTAGGCTTTATTGCACGCCCTAAACCCTGGACTGCTCGTCAGTCTACGCCACCGGACTGAAACCAGCAAGCTGAACCGTGCATAAGGTTTAGAGTTTAGGGTTTAGGGTTTAGGGTTTTAGGGTTTAGGGTTTAGGGTGTAGGATGGCAATCCGTCGCGTTCTGACCAGTAAACTTGAAACCCGAAGCCCCCGCGCCCTCCAAGCTTCTCAGACCTCAACCGCGAATCAATCCCAGGACTAGACTCCCTTAAAACACTACAACTACCTCATGGGTGGCTTTCAAAATCATGGTCCCTTTTTGGGTCCCTAATATAGTACGGCACCGAATATTTAGGGTACCCCAACAGGGACCATAATTTTGACAACCACCCTCATCATGGGACTTCAAAAGCAGCTTGGAATCGGTTGGACTTACCTCATGTATAACATTCCTTGTAACCTGCTCTAAGTCCTCTGACCCTCCACGCAAACCCCAAGCCCTGAAGCCTAAAGCCCGATAAATCCTAAGCCCGTGGCACGCTAAACCCCTTTCTGCTAAACTGCCAACACTGACTTCAGAACATGCACGCCCATAATTATCCTACATCTTAAATCCTAAACCCCTAAACCTCTTAAAGCCCTAAAATAAACCCTAAACCCTAAACCCTGCAACCCTGCAACCCTAAACCCTCAACCCGATGGGCCAGGCCCCGCCCTCTTGGGGGAGACGGTGAGCTCTTGTCGCCAGAAGCGAAGAAGATGCAGCAAGCCTCTCGACATGGGCAGTTGCGTGTTCAGGGTTTCAGTTTGTGGCTTTCGGCTTAAAGGTTACTTGGAGGCCCTTTTGACTTAGTAAGTAGGGTTAGTAAGGTGGGTTATGGGGATTATAATGGGGTTTCTAGGGGATACTAAGTAGACTTACTAAGTCAAAAGGGCCTCCAAGTATAGGGGATAAACTGTGGGCAGTTTTCGGGCTTGAAGAGTTTTCGGTTAGGCTTTCTTGGAGGTTTTGGCTCATTTGCAAGGTGTTCTCTGGGTTCTCGTGGCCAGCTTTGCTGCTTTCGGGCATGCTTCTTCAGCTGTGATTGGGTTGTCCTTCAGTTTACGCTGGGACTGATTGAAGCTGTTGAAGCAATGGGTTTCCTGTTGATTATGTGGTGTTCGCGACGGCTAGTGTGAGTACTAAATTACCAGTGCGAAGAGCTGCTGCTGCAATTCCTGCGACAACGCCCCTGTTGGCAAACCTGAGGAGGAGCAGTGGACAAACTCTGCAGATCTTCAAAGTCCCCAGTCCGTAACGTTTTTGGATCAGTTCGGGTTCCCCTTCCCGGTTCATAAGACATGACGCCGACATTTTTGCTGATTTCTGGGCTGCTTGCATCGATACCTAGTCAACCCGTTGATTTGCGCGGGAAAGCCGAATCTCATAGCCCCCGACGGCGAAACCTAGACCCGAGACCCTAAATCCAGAACCCTCAATCCTCAACCCTCCCTAACTCCTCAACCCTAAACCCTACCTGTAGCCGAAAAGACCTACCTTTCTAAGGAACTGTATATAGAAACCAGAAGAAGGAACCCTAAAAACGTAGGCCCTTTCGGCTACAGGTAAGCCCTAAACCCTAAACTTTAAACCCTACTTAAAGGATCATGGGACTTTGTAAGTAAGGTTATAAGTACCCTAAGTGGGGTTATAAGTATAGTTACCCTAATTATAACCCTAGTTACTAAGTCCCATGATCCTTTAAGTAGGCTTTGCCTTTTGGACTTCTTTTGCTCTTGCAAAGGAGCTCCCGAACCTGTCTGAGGAGCCCGAGTTCGGCTTTGGGTTCCTGGGGTCTTGCCGGGATCCAAAAAGTGGTCTATGGGGGTTAGTATAGGGGATCTATAAGGGTACTAGAATATAGGGGTCTTAGTATTTAGAATAGGGTTTAGGGTTTAGGGTCTACCCAGACCACCGGGAGAATGCAAAAAGTAGATCCCTTAATGGGGGTTCCTATAAAGTACCCTTAGTACTATAGGGCCCCAAATTATGGGATCTACTTTCTAGATCCTAAACCCTGAAGAAGGCTTCGGTGCGGCTAGGGCTGAGGCTTAGGTTTTAGGGTTCAGGGTTCAGGGTTTAGGGTTTAGGGTTCAGGGTTCAGGGTTTAGGGTTGTTTAAGGCAGCTTCTTCTTGAGTCATGTTTTCCCCGGTGGTAGAGGCCGTCTTCGCGGTGAATCCGGAGAAGCGAAATAGCCCCCAGAAGCCAGGATGACACAATGGCCAACGCTGCCATGTGCTACCTCAGCCACAGCCTCGGTGGTGGTTGGAGGTTTTGGCGTGAGACTCCTCTAAACTCCGTAGTAGTAGAGTAGGTAACCTTTACCCCTTCTTGGGTAGTACAGTCCCTATATAGTCTCTATATAGCCAAAAAGGTTAAGCTTTAGTTCCCCATGATACCCGACAAGTAGGACTCTAACTCTATGGGAATATCGACATCCTCTGATTGGGGAGGTAAGTGCCCTAGTTTGGTTTTCTGACCTACGGTCTTACGTGCAATCTGCTGGCGAAGTCTAAGTCCCTTCAGCTTCCAAGTAAGACTGCTGGGGCCGAAATCACTGGTATGTCCTCGAGAACCTTGATATAACCCTGGTAGAGGCTTTGCAGATTATGTCCCCCCCAAACTTTGAACCCTGAGACTTGGAACAACACTTACTCCTAAAGCCCCCAAATCCTCCACTCAAATCCCCCCTAGTACTTCTCAACTCTGAAGCCCTGTCGCTTCACCCCTGAGCCCCAATCTCTAAAGCGCCAGCTCCAGACGACAAAACCCTAAAATGCAAGCTAAGCCCTAAACCCAGCCCTAAGCCCTAAACCCGAAACCCTAAACCGTAAACCCTAAACCCGAAACCCTAAACCGTAAACCCGAAACCCGAAACCCTAAACCCTAAACCCTAACCCGAAACCCTAAACTGCCGAGAGCGCCGCTGACCATTTGCATGGGCGCTCGAGGCTCCGACCGAGGCCCCCGGCCGAGCGTCCCGACAAGACGGTGAGGGAGGGTAAAGCCTCCCGGAAAACGGGGACGGAAATGGACACAATACAGACGTCAGTCCGTTATAATAAGGATCCCAAATCCCTCACCATTGAAGTGTTTTTGGTTCTCCCCCCCAGGCGGGGTCCAGGGCCTAGCAGAGTTCATTTTTTTGGTCTTTTTTGGGGGTGCTGCCCCCTGCCCTATGCCCTGCCCTGCCCTACCCCTGCCCCTGCCCTGCCCTCCTCCCCCCCCCCTACTTCCTGCCCTACCTTGTTCACACTTCGAGCACCCCTTACAAGGTGCGAGATGCAAGCTGTTTGTTGGAAACCCTTGCTTTACGTCGAGCGGCCGGCACAGGCCGCGAGGACCCACAACCCGACAGAAACCATTTCTGTTGTGATTTCTGGAGAAATATTGGTGTTTACATGTCAAGCTGCGAAAGGAAGCAGAAAGCAAGAAAGCCCCCCTTGAGGGGGGTTTGGGGGGTGAACCCTAAACCCTAATTGAGAATAGTTGGGGTGGTTGGGGCGGGACTACATGCTGACGCAAGCGCGCGATTAGTGGGTGCGCCCCCTATTCCTAAAGTAAAAGGCGCGCCCACCGCGCGCATACTGTTACACACCCTAAACCCTAAACCCGAAACCCGAAACCCTAAACCCTAAACCCCTAAACCCTAAAATGCAAGCCCTCCTCAGGGGCTGGAGCCGATCCCCGACCCTAAGCCCTCACAGCAAACCCTCAACGCCAAGACCCGAGATCTCAAAACCTAAACCTGGGTGGCAATTTGGGAAACTTTTTAATTTCCCTTATGGTTCCTATAGAGGTACCTATTCATAAATACTTTTCAGAGTACCAAAACTACAACCCAGAAACTCTAATCCCTAAGCCCTGAGCCCCAAACCGAAGCCATTATACCGCGGAAAATGTCACATCCTTCCAGACCCTGGCTTCGAAGAAATAGGCTGAAGCCCACTTAGTCTAAATGCTGCAAGGCTATGGATTTTCCTGACTTCCCCAGGTTTTACACATCCCGAAACCCGGGAACTTAACTCTAGATCTCAAACATTTTTTCAATTATCAGCTGTTAGGTTTTGCAATTAGCAGCTTAATCCCCACTCTCGAATCCTCTCTCAGTGATGAGCAAAACTTGCGACGGTGAAAGCCTGGGTCTTGCAGAATGAATGAAAACTCCAGCGCGCTGGCCTGCAACTGACTTCAGGGGACTTTGAAAGTAGTTTATCATTGGGGTTACGAGTCCCCAAGCCCTAAACCCTATAAACCCCAAAGCCCTTCAACCCCTAAACCCTGAACCCCTAAATCCGTAAAGCCTAAACCCCTAAACCCCTAAACCCTGAAGCCAGAAAGTTGGAACATCATTATCCTCGTGCCCCTAAGGTAATGTATAAGGGATCCTAGCACTAATCCTCCTAAACCCATGTTCCAACTTTTCTGGCTTCTACCCTAAACCCTAAACCCTAAACCCTAAACCCCTAAACCCTAAACCCTAAACCCTCAAGCCCTGCTTCTCTCAGCAGACTCTGAGGTCCGCTTGGCCAGCGCTCCAAAGCCTTGAGCAGCGCGGCCCGTGAGTTTTGACCCGATTGCAACAACTTTTTGGAGGTTGATCATAGGGTTTATCGGGTTTCGAGTTTAGGGATGTCTGAAATCCCCCATACTCGTTTAGATGATAGTTTTGCAGAAAGGCTGGGGTCACCAGGAAATCTTGACGTTTAAGCCCAGACCCCAAACCCTAAGCCCTAAGCCAAAAACCTGCTTCCCCGAACGCTCCTCACCCAAAGATACCAAAATCCCCAAAGCTTGACGGCGCCAGACCCCCACGAGTTGCACGCTCACCAAATGCCAGGGTGTGCAGTAGGGTTTCGGGCTCAGGTGCATGGTTTACGGTGGTGAAGGGTTTATGGCTTTTGGTGTTTAGGATTTAGGGTGTAGGGTTCAAGATGGTTGAGGGTAAACCCTGATGGCTTTAGTGGTTGTTTTAGGATTTTGGCATTCGGTCATCTCAAACCGAATCCCCAATCTCAATGATCAGAGCCCAACGCGTGAAGAAACCCGTGTCAGGAAACCCCTTATACCACCCTTGTAGAACTCCCATAAGGCTACCAAGCGCCCACGAACCCCTTCTGAAGCCCTGCGGCACCCTTATCAAATCTTACAGACCTTGGCCCCCCAAATTCACGAATATAAAGCCGTGTAAAAAGCTAGCGTAAACCCGGTAAATCCTTTACGAAACCTTGTCTCCAAACCGTTAAAGAAGGCGCAACGCTAAGGCGCCACAGTCTCGCCGAAGACACCCCGGCGGCCAATGATGCTCCCAGCCCTTTACTCCCCCCAATCGTCCGGGCTCCCAGTGAGGGTTTAGGGCTTGGGGGTTGAGGGTTTTGGGTTTCTATAAGACTTTTATAAGCAAGCTTATTTCCACGGTTTTATCCGGGTGTTGCAGGGGTGTTACGTAAGGGTCTGACAGGATCTTCCTTGCGTTTTGTGCGAAGTTCGGGTCCCTCCTTTGGGGTCCTCAAAGCAGATGCCCGATAAAGAGCACTACCCGTTTAGGGTTTAGGGTTTAGGGTTACTACCCTCATTAGGAGCCCTCTTTCTGCTACAGCTCTTCTCAAGGTAGCGTGGTCTGTTTTGTTTCCTTTATCACGTTGGTCACCGTCGGGTTCGCAGCAAGGTGTTGGCGACTGCATACCGGGGAACACCAGTGTGTGTCTATGTGGAAGATGTCGTTGGCAACACTGGTGTTGTGAGAGGCCCAAACCCTTAGACCCTTAAGCTCGCAAGCCTCAACCCCTAAACCCCCAAAAGCACTACGCCGAAACCACTGTGGCGGCCTCTACATGTCGACGTCCGGGGATGCCCTGATGCTCGAGTTCGGTGTCGAGGTCGACGGCCTTCTTTGTTTTCTGCTGTGGCGAGGAGCCACCCCAAACGACTCTGAAGCCTGAAAAACCAACCCGAAACCCCAAACGACATCGATGGTTTCATTCCCGTATTGTCCCTACTGACATATAGCATAATATGCCTCAAAACCCCGAGTAAACCCGAAGTACGATAATCCCAAAGCAAAGCCCCAGCTTCACGAGAAAGGTCCGACGTGCGGAGGACAGTGCCGAGCCGCTTGTTCATCATGATCCAGAGTTCAGGGATCCGGGTTTAGGTTCAGGCTTGAGGGTTTCCTTACCTTTGGTTAGTCGGGAATGGAAGAACGGTAGTAATGGTTGTTATAATTGTACCCCATTCCTCCATTCCCTACTAACCAAAGGTAAGTTTCAGGGTTTAGGGTTCAGGATGTTCAGGAGTTTCAGGGTTCTAAACCCTAAACCCTAAAGCAGGGTGTTCCGGAGCCCTAGAGTTAAAGCCCAGTTCGAAAGGCTTTGGCATGTTTTTTCAGTTCCTTCAGCCCTGCACTCGAATCTTTTCCCAGATGCCGAAAAAACCGAAGCCCATGCACTTTAAATCCTCAATCCCTACCCTAAGCCTGAAAAAAAAGTTACGGTAAACCTTAGAAGCTGCCCCCACCCTGTAATAGTGGTATAATTGGAATATAATAGGGCCCTAAACCCTAATCCTATATAATCCTTATAGTCACTATTGCAGGGTGGGGGCAGCTTCTAAGGTAAACCCTTAGAACCCTGCAGGCGGCATCTTGAGGGATACGGACGGCCGGGATGCAAAGTCTGACAGTACTTTAGGGTTTAGGCTTAGACGTGGTTCGGGACGAAAGTTCTGGGTTTAAGGTTTGGGTTGTCAGTTTTTTTTGTTGGTCTTACATGTTGTCTGCGATGTTGGTCGGTTAAGGGCGCTGAGTGGATTTAGGGGTTTAGGATGTGTCTCCCCCACGGGCAAGTGCTGATACGACCGCTGCCGCGACCATTGCCCCTACCTCCGACACTGACACATTGATGATTTGGGAGCCCGAGCTGACGCCTCCATTCCGAATTATGCGACTTCCGCAACCCTCAAACCGTAACTCCCAACCATCTGAGGCATGAACTCCGAAGTCCAAACCCCGAAGCCAGCAAGCACGGAACCCTAAATTTTCAACTGCCCGCGATGTACCCTGAGCCCTACACAAACCCGTCGAGGTGGGCTAAAAAGCTCCGGCGTGACATCCCCCGGGACCATCGTCCTGGCGCCACCCAGGCTTTCTTGATTGTTGTGTGTTCCTTTCTTTTTGGGTGGTGGCTTGGGTACTTGGAGGATCATGGGACTTACTAAGTAAGGTTATAAGTACCCTAATTGGGGATATAAGTATGGTTACCCTAATTATAACCCTAGTTACTCAGTCCCATGATCCTTTAAGTAACCCTAAAACCCCTCTTGTAGAGCCCTGATAGTCCCTTTTAAGGAGCCCTTTTAAGGAACCCTAGTTACTAAGTCCCATGATCCTTTAAGTGGGTGTAACCTGCAAGCTTTATACGCTTGAAACCCCAAGTCCTCGGGCTCTGGGGCAAGGCCGGTGGGCCACGACTTAGACCTTCCGATGATCGACCCTGGGCCGGCACGAAGTGCTGGGGTTTGGGTGATTTAGAGTGATTTCGGGGGTTTTCTGAATGAGCCAGAATAGGGGGTTGTGCAGGGTTGGAGAGGAGTCCTTCTTAGGGTTTAGATACGGGTTTGATGTAAAGGGGTTGGTTGATTCCTTAGGGATGTGGGGTTTGCTGGATTTAGGGTTTAGAGGTTCAGACCCGGTCAACGTGGTTTGCCGTTCTTGTAGGGTGTCTTTCGAATCTTAGACACAAGAGCATAGATGTTTCATGTTCAGAAGTAGGATCTGAAGTGCAGCGCAGGCCTCAGTCAGAGTCTTAAAGTGCCATGTTTGCTAAACCCTAAACCCTAAAGCCCTAAACCCTAAACCCTAAACCCTAAAGCCCTAAGCCCTAAACCCTAAAGCCTAAAGCCCTAAACCCTAAAACTGACAGCGTAGTACGCCTTCGTATCTAATAGTGTTGATCCAGTCCAGACTTAAACACAAAAAGACCTCAAACTCGAAACCCCTAAACTTGTTTCCCAACTGACCCCAAGCCTTTAGATTCAGAAACGTAAACCCTAAACCTTTAAACTCAAACCCCAGAAACACCCCAAACATCTAAATCCCTAAACCCTAAAGCCCTGAACCAGCAGGCTTGGGTTTAGGCCCTGTGCCACGGCTGAATGGCTTGGTGTTTTAGCTTGAGGTCGAGGCTTTCGGAGTCAGAGGAGCTTTCACCCGAAGCACAGCCTGAAACCCAGAAGAAAGGAAGAGAGCAGGAAATGGTAACAAGGAGCCCTAGAAAGGAGAGGGGTTTTAGCGTGTTCGGACCTTCCTTGTTTATTCTCCAGGAAACCCGTCGAAACAGTCGAGCCGCGGCCCCTCAAGCTCCACAGCACACAGAATCGAGTGAACGAATAGCCAAGGTGCTGAATTCGAGAAGACTCAAGCCCTACATCCACCAAAGCTTGTTGCGAAGTCTTAAGAATTCTTCAGATCCCTACCCACCCCCCGACCCACTCCCCCAAAAAAAGCAAACGCTAAGCACCCGCTGCCCTAAACCCTAACTCCTGGAATACTCACTTGAACCCAAAACCCAAAACCTTAAGCCCTAAACCCTAAGCCTTGAAACCTGAAGCCCCCAAAGCTCGTATTCCTCAGGTACCTTGTTTTGGGGTCCTTATAATAAGGATCCTACTGTTTAGGGTACCATATGAGGGTTCCCCTATTCTCGGACGCCCGATTCAGGACCAGATATGCCGGTCGTCATTTCAAGCCCACAAGGCCGATCCTAGGGCTTCGGCTTTGGGCTTGAGGGTTTGGGGTTTAGGGGTTGAGGGCTTAGGGTTCAGGGCTCTGGGGCCGTGGGGTTCAGGGCTTTGGGGTTCGAGGTTTAGGGTTTAGGGTTGAGGGGTTCAGGGTTGAGGGCTTAGGGGTTCAGGGTTGAGCTTTAGGGCGTAGGGCTTGGGGTTTTGGGGGTTCTGTCGCAGCCACCACCCCGCTACCTTTGTGTTTGGCTTCGTGGATGTGTCTTGATACATCTGCACGCGCCAGGCTTGTTCTTAGGATAGATGGGAGTTTCCGAAAATACGGGGTACCTTGTTTTGGTATCCTTGAGGATCCTATATTTAAACCTATCTTAGGGTCCCCTATTGTCGGAAACCCCCAGATGGGGTTCTCCATCGCACGAAAGAAAGCGTTAAAGAAGCCCCGGAGCATGTGGGCACTTAAGCCCAATAAGGAATGAAGGTATATATTATCCCAGCCATGAAGCTAGAATTGTTCTTTGATCCTTCTAAGCCCTTAAAACCATCCGAACCCTAAATACACCCTTGTTATTCTAGACCCTTAAAACCCCCAAACCTAAACCCCTGCTATTCTGTACCCTTAAAAACCCCAAACTTAAACCCAATTAGACCCTGAAGTGCTTGGAGGATCATGGGACTTAGTAAGTAAGGTTACAAGTACCCTAATTGGGGTTATAAGTATAGTTACCCGAATTATAACCTTAGTTACTAAGTCCCATGATCCTTTAAGTACCGCCTGGCAGGCCCTGCTTCAGTGGCAGCGGCGGGCTTTAGCGGCGCATCGAAGGGCCTGGGACAAAGCCGAGAAGCTCGAGGCGGCCAAGCGGGAGCCAAACGCGTCAGGGGTTCATCCTTTCCGACAACTAGGGAATCCAAATATAGTAGCAAAAAAGTAGGATCCTTGCTATAAGGACTCCAAAACAAGGTACACGTACCCCTAGTTTTCGGAAACTCCTCTATTGAAGCCAAAATAATTACAATATTGTTCCTTAGAGTTCCTTATTAGTGTTATATCTAAGGGAGCCCAGAGCCTTATTTTCATTGTCAAGGCGCCTACATTAGGAGTTTAGAGGGTTAGGAGTTTGGGTTTTAGGATTCTAGCCAATTTCGGGTGTCGGGTCCCTCCCATAAAATGTTGACCAGCGCTGTTTCGAGTTTTACTGTACATGAGGTCGAGGGATTCCTCAGAAAGTTTTTGTGTTTTACATGGTTCTATAGAGCAGTCTAGAGAGTGTTTAGAGTATTGCCGGATGCTTGTGGTTTAGGCCCTTTTTCGGGGGATGGCTTTTGAGGTTCAATGTTGGGTGCTTAAGATCCAGAGGCTTGCTGCATCTGTTCTAAGGTTACCAGTGTTATTGTTACGATGTTGGCCAGTGCCAGAAGAGATTTGTATAAGACTGGCAGATGCACTTCGTATACTTCTTTTCACACACTTGCTGTTTGTCCAGATCATTTACTGCTGTTGTTATTGTTCCTTGTATCCGTGTCATCCGGGTTGCTGGAACGGAATGGTGTCTTCTAAGCGCTAAAGTCTAACCATCCTACCCTAAGCCCCAAATTCTAACCATCCTAAATATCTATCCAGGTCTTTGGAAGTTTGGGGTATAGGCATAGGGCCAGAATTTGGGTGGAGGCCAGGTTACAGTCTTGCTGGTTGCTCAGGCTATAAGTAGCTTACTTGGGTTTATAAGTGGAGTTACATTGTCTACAACCCTGGATGGAGACTAAGTCTCAGGATATCCTTTTAGTGTACCCTAACCGCAAAGCCCGGTAACACCATCAAGAAAACCTGAAAGAAACCCTTAAAGGAGCCCTTAAAGGAGACCCTGATGGAACCCATGAAACCCTAAACCCGAAACCCGAAACCCTGAAACCCGAAACCGTGAACCCTAAACCCTAAACCCTTTGTAAACCCTTTGGGGAGCGTTGATCCCCAAGTGATGCCACGGACGCATGTCCAGGCGCGCACCAAGACCCAGCGATGGCGGCAGCACCAGATCAGGACTTGCCATGGCGGGTGTTCTGAAACCTAAACCTTTGAGCTCTACTGAAAGGATCATGGGACTTAGTAACTAGGGTTATAATTAGGGTAACTATACTTATAACCCCAATTAGGGTACTTATAACCTTACTTACTCAGTCCCATGATCCTCCAAGTAGATCCTTGAGGCGGCCCGAAGCCCTAAACTGAAAACCCCGTTCTTCAAAACTAAACCCTCGAAGCAATTCCTGCGATTCAATCCCGTTCCAAACCCAGCGAATCTGCTCCCCAGGATGCGGCAGGCCGCAGAAGGATTGCAGGAGCACATTTGGGTTTTGGGCTTTGGGTTTGGGGTTTTGGTTTTGGGCTTCCGGCTTGGAAATTTGGCCTTGTAATTCGTTTCGGTTTCGTGCTTGAGTCTGGGGTGCGTGTCTTCGGGTTGGGGTGGGCAGTTTTGGCTTCATGGGCTTCAGGTCTTTGGCTCAGGTCTTCGTGGTTCGGATGCTAGGATTGCAGGGTTCGGTTTCCCATAAATTCAAGCCCGGACGAGAAGCTTCAACAAACCCTAACCCAACCCTAAACCCTAAACCCTAAAAGGTAACCCAATACCATGAACCACCAAAGCCCCGATTACTGGCACCCTCGATTCGGTTTGCAATGCTCCCGTTCCTTACTCAGACCCCCGGAAGGATCCAAAAAGTAGATCCCTTAAGGGGGCTCCTATAAAGTACCCTTTAGTAGCTAGGGTCCCAAATTAGGGGATCTACTTTTTGGATCCTCCGGGGGTCTGGGTAGTCAAAAGCCCGACGACATCCTGATGCCCACCCTCGAGCAATAGAGCTGAAATCCTAGATCCTGCATCGCGCCCTCAACCCTAAATCCCTTTAGTATGCCCTTGAATACACTGTTCCTACCAAGTCCTCTGAGCATCTAAGAACACCCTGAACTCTACAGTAAACCCTTCAAGACGGTTGATGATATAAATCCTGCATGACCCATAATAAGGAATATGCCATAATTCCCATATATTCCTCATTATTGGTAATGCAGGATTTATATCATCAACCGGAGAACCAGGAGACGAAGAAACCCTTGAAGAACCCTTCCACAACCCTGAGCAGAAGCCACCGATCTCACCTCTACAGATTCCCGCGAGATGCCTCTATTTAAAAAAACACTTTGCGCAACCCTGCAAAGTTCGTATAAAACACCACAAAACCCTATAGCACCCTCCGAAGCCCTATAAAGAAGCCGTATAAGGCTCGTAAACAACCTCATAGAAGTCGAGTAAAACGGTACAACACGTATGAAGAGCTATATGCGTGGTTGTACGAACCTTATCGACCTTGAATAAACCTTATGAAGCCCCTGTTCAGCACTTATTACAAACCTTACAGACACCCGCCTAAACCCTAATTCTAAATCCCAAACCCTAAACCCCAAGTCCTAAACCCTGAACCCTAAACCCCAAAGACACTAACCCTACCCTCAACCCTAGACCGAAACCTTAGACACCGCCTAGAAGACGGAAAAAGGTGCTAAAAGAAAAAACCCTTAGACACCCAGGCAAGTCCGATCCGCAGGAGCCGCTGCCCTCGCCCAGGTCGCCCAGGAAGCCATGGAATCCAGAGTCTGAAGATGAAGGCGGGTTTAGGATTTAGGGGTTCAGGGGATCCGTTTTGGGGTTGGGGAGTTGTTGGGGTTTAGGGGTTTGGGGTTTAGGGATTTGGGGTTATTCTGGGTTGAAGAACGGGCTCCTTGAAGGCTTAGGGTTACTCATCAAATCAAGGCCCATACATCAGGGCTTTCGAGGGGCTCCTTTAGTTGAAGGCTTCCTTGAAGGCTTAGGGTCTATGTATGAGAGGCTCTTGGGGTTGGAAGTTTTCGAAGGCCTCCTTGAAGGGTTCGGTTTAGTGTTGCTTTTGGGGATCCCGTGAAGGAATTAGAGTTTGGGGCTCTTAGGGTTTTAGGTTGGAGGATCCGAGGACGAACATGAGAATCCTAAGCTCCCGTTGCTGAGGGGAGGCGCCGGTTACTCACGGGTCGCTCCACGTGCCAACGAAGGAGGACACCCCAGGCGAGGGTGTAGGGTTTAGGGGTTTAGGGATTTAGGGTTTCGGGCTTTCTTCATGAATTCAGGGTTCCGAGCGCAAGGCCCTGACCCCAAACCCTGTACTTGGTAAGTAGGTCACAAGACAGGCTAGATGTAGGCTGCTCCGATGACTACGCCCGCTGAACGTAGTGAAACCATTGGCCCTTGTCATGAGGTGATTCTGGCTTTGAGCGTTGCGATTTTAAGGAGGTGTTGCTCAAGGGGGTGCTGCGGGCTTCGTTTTGAGGCATAGCTCCGGTTTAGGGTTGAGGGGTTTCAGACCGGAAATGGAAGAGAGCTTGCATACAGAGGAGCCTCAATGTTTTTTTAAAGCGGCGAGGGCTCAGGGTTTAGGCTGCAGGATCTCGGTTGGATGAAAGTCTAAACCAAGGTTACATCGGAAGATGAGGTGGCAAAAACAGGGTAAAGAAGCAGAACGTGCATCGCAGAACACCAACCTCAGATGCTAACTGCTAGTAAGGGCTGTGGTGTATGTTGAGTTTAGAACGATTTACATGGGAGTTGCAAGAAATCCGAAGCACGACACCTTCAACTACCCCCCCCAAAAAAGCCCTCAGGTGCCTCCCGCACGACGACACCCCGTGCCGCCGCGGAGCCCACGCCCCGGGCGAACCACACCCCACGGCCTGGGTCCTGGCTCCATGCTTTACAAGGGCTCATAGGGTTTAGGGCTTATAGGGTTTAGGGATTATAGGGTTTAGGGCTTATAGGGTTTAGGGCTTATAGGGTTTAGGGCTTATAGGGTTTAGGGATTATAGGGTTTAGGGCTTATAGGGTTTAGGGATTATAGGGTTTAGGGCTTATAGGGTTTAGGGTTTAGGGTTTAGGGTTTAGGGTTTAGGATTTAGGGTTGAGGGTTTAGGGTTTAGGGTTTAGGGTTTACGACGAGTAAGAAGAACTACTTCTACCACTACTACTGCTGCTACTTCGGACGAATGTCCGCATGCCGCTAGCATTCCCTCTTGTGCTCCAAAACTTTACGCCTTGTTTAAACCTTAAATCCTGAGCCTTGAACCCCAACCCTAAACCCTAAACCCTAAACCCTAAACCCTAAACCCCTGAAGTGTACACGCTAGACTCCAGGCCTTCAAAGCCCCATGCCGACATCTGCTCTGCAGCTTCGAAAGGTCCGTGGCCGTGAAGGTGCCGAAGGCCGCTAAGCCCGAGCAGAGCCAGCATCGGCTCAGGCCCATACTTTGTTGTGTCTTCTTGCCGCTTTAAGATTTTCTTATGTTTTATTGCCGTTTTATTAAGACTTTCTTATGTTTTATTGCAGTTTTATTAAGACTTTCTTATGTTTTATTGCCGTTTTATTAAGACTTTCTTATGTTTTATTGCAGTTTTATTAAGATTTTCTTATGTTTTATTGCCGTTTTCAGGCGGTCGATGGGGTTTCGGGTTCCAGGTTTACAGTGGGGTTGTTGTTTTTGAAGGGGTTTGGTGGTCTTAAACCCCAAACCCTGAACCTGAAACCTCTAAACCTTACACCCCAAACCCTGCAAGCCTTTTAGGCTTCCACCAGGCCCCAAAACAAAATGTCACCAGCAGGTTTAGGGTTTAGGGATTGGGGCTTCAGAGTTTAGGGTGCAAGAGGTTTAATAATTTAGGGTTTAGGGTTTAGGGTTTAGGGTTTAGGCTTCCAGGCTTGAGGGTTTGGGGTTTAGGGTGCCCCGAGCCCTGAAGCCTCAAAACGTGTGGTGCCAGCTTAGACAGGCATCTTCTAAAGCGGCGCCAGGACCCGCCGGGTGTCACCACTGGGCTTCCTACAAGTAGAGGTAGGAAGGTTTAGGGTTTGGGTTTGGGGACTAGTAGCAGCACCCCCTTACAGTTTACAGTCGTTATACAAGCAGAGTATAAGACGACTTCTCTTTCCTTTGGTAAATGCACATATTGAAGCATCTGTTACATGCTGTGGGGCTTTATGAGGGTTTGTATGTCACATCTTTATTGCTGTTGAGTTTTTTGCTAAGGTCTGTCTGAGAAGCATATGGGAGTGGTGCGACTTCTTTCCTAAGCTGAAGCTCTCCTGGGGTTTTGCAGTTTCAGGCGTCAGGGTTTGAGGTTCGGTGGATTTCAGGTCACGAAAAGGGCCCTTTCGCGTGGAGGAGCAGTTTGGTGTACCCTAACCCAAAACCCTAAACCCCTTGAACCAAAAGCACCGAAACCCTTGCAGCTTCAGGCGAAAACACCTTAAATCCTAGACCTTTCAAGGCCTTCAGGGTTTAGGGCTTAGGGTTTAGGGTCTCCCCGGCCCTTTCCAAACCGAGATTTCAGCATATTTAGCAAAACTATCCCCTGGTGGTCCCCTCATGGCTGTGGCCCAACAGCCCCACCCCGAGCGTTAAGGCCTTCATGTAGGCCTTTCAGACCCTCTGCACAGGCCTTCTGAAACCTGTGGAAGGTCTTACAAAAGGAGTTTCAAACCCCATCATAAAATCGCTACAAAGCCCCTTCGCCCCCTGAACCCTAGCTCCTGAACCCTGAACCCTAAATCCTAAACCCCCCCAGCCCACCCAGGAGAAGCGCAGCCAGCGCATCGCGGCGGCGGCGGAGACCATGGAGGCGTCATCGGCGTTTTAAGGGTGTAGGTTAGAAGGGGCCCCCACCCTGTAACAGTGGTACAATATGAATATAATAGGGCCCCAATATAATCCTTATAGTCTCTATTACAGGCTGGGGGCAGCTTCTAAGGTGTAGGGTTGAGGACGTAAGGTCTGGGGTGTAGGGTTTCGGAACTATTCGTAGGGTAAAAGGGGTTTAGGGTTCAGGGCTTTGGGTTCAAGATGTAAGCTAAATTATCCTAAACCCTACACCGTTACCCCCTCCAGTTTTTCCCTATACCCTAAACCCTACACCATAAACTTTCAGAGTTCCGGGTTGAAACCCGGTACCCTAAATCCTATATCCTAAACCCTAAACCCTGAATCCTAAACCCTAGACCCTAAACCCTAAACCCCTAAACCCCTAAACCCTAAACCCTAAATCATAAACTCTAAACCCGGTACCCTCAGGCTTTGGATCCCACCAGCAGGGCGCTGCTCCAGGAGATCTTCTGGCGCAACTCCCGAAGCAAGGAGAGGGAGGTGTTGGGGGTTGTGGGGGGGTTTAGGGTACAGTGTAGGGGTTTAGAGCTTAGGGGTTGAGGGGTTTAGGGTATAGTGTAGGGGTTTAGAGTTTAGGGGTGGAGGGGTGTAGGGTACAGTTTGGGGTTTACAGTTTAGGGCAAAGTTTAGGAATTTTGGGGTTTAGGGGGATTTAGAGTTTGCGGGTTTAGGGGTTTCAACGGTTTCGGTTCAGGGGTTTAGGGTTTAGGGTGCCGTTTAGGGTTCATGCGGAGCTTAGGGCTTAGTCATGTGGGTAGTTCGCTAAATTAGGGTCCAGACAACTTTGCCGCATCACAGCGTGTGCGCAACAGCAATTTGTTCAGATCGCAGCATGTGTGCGAGAAAGCTTTGCTGCACGGTTTAGGGGTTTAGGGTGTTGGGGTTTAGGGTTAAGGGTTTAGGCTTTAGGGTGCGACCCCGACAAAACTGTGCCGCAACACGGCAAGCCACGTCGCCGTGCCACCGGTGCCAGATAACTTTTCTGCATCACAACCTGTGCGCAACAGCAACTTGTCCACATCACAATGTCATTTGCATGCGAGATCATGCGAGAAAGCTTAGTGGCTATCTTCTCGGCCCGTGATCCTTGTGACATTTTTGTTACTGTTGGTGCTTCTGGGATGCGACGAAGGCCTGTTGCGCCTTCGAGGCCCCAAGAACGACGACAATTGCATGGACGGTGACCCCGTTGGCACTATTGAATCATGCACACGAGCATGCCGTTCAGGTATCCACTGTTGGGGAAACAGGGTCGGGTTCAGGGCTCGAAAACCGCGATAGGAAAATTCAGCAAACAGCGAAGACATGTCACCACTCGGAGTGGCATCGTTGCTTGGAGGTGGTGATTCAGGTTGCTGCCGCCCTTGCGCACGTCCACTGTGTGGGTTGGTTGGGTGCACCCGGACGGTTCGCGGAAGCAGCGCCAAACTGCGGCCTTGTCGAGTGCAAGACCTCCACCGGCCACCGAAGCCGAGAAGCTCACCACCAACTCACCACAACATTCAACAATTTCCCCTCAGCCTTCCGATGCCTAAATACGTTGAAAACTCCACCTCGCGACAGTCCTCTCTTTGTAGGCTAAATCGCGTTGGATTGGGTGTTTCAGTTCCAAGTTTAATTGAAGGCGCAAAAACCCTGAACCCGAGGCCCGTGGCAGGCTACTGCTTGGGATTTCTACATGCAAGGGCCTTAGACATCTAAAACATCCTTGGGCTTCCCTGTCGAAAATCGAGTATATTACTTGGAGGATCATGGGACTTAGTAAATAAGGTTATAAGTACCACAATTGGGGTTATAATTAAGTATAGTTACCCTAATTATAACCCTAGTTACTAAGTCCCATGATCCTTTAAGTATGCCACCCAAAACACTGTTCAAACTCCTAAGGTCCCTATACCAAAAAGCCATCCGAAGCCATGCAGTAACCCTACAGAGAACCCATTGCAAGAATTAGGGCTTTTCGACTTCGAGGTGAGGTCGAAGGGAGAGCTGAAAAATGCCATGAACACCAATCCCGGCCTACCAGACCCCAAAAGCTGGAGTTTCGTGTTAAGGGGTTCAGGGGTTTAGGGTTTTCAGGGTTTAGGGTTATGTTTTTATTGAACCCATATGCAGCCCAGACCGGTTTGCAGCGCTTGTAGAACACGTGCAATGCCGAGCCATAACAAGGGACTAAGAAGCACATGTAAAAACCCTTCAATGACCTTAAGTAAACCACCCCAACCCTAAGCCCTAAGCCCTAAACCCTAAACCCTAAACCCTAAACCCTAAACCCCAAACTCGAAACCCTGAAACAGAAGACCCGGAGCCTGAACCTTACTCGCTGAATCCAGAATGCCAAACCCAGAAACCCCAGCCCCCGAGTGTTTTTGGTCCCAAAGTGAAGCACTCTCTAAACGCCCTCTGGTCTTGGGGTCTAGTTTTCGGGTTTGGGTTTTGTGGTGAGGGCTTGGGGTTTAGGCTTAGGGTTTAGGGTTTCCAAACCCTAATCCCGAGATCGCATTGAGACACCGTTGAAGACGCAGGAGGATGTGTTGATGGGCCTGGAAGTCCACCGGGCGGTCCTAGAGGCCTGTCCTGGCGAGCTTTCCTTTTGCAGGGCTTTGTTTGGGGATTCAGGGGCTTGTATTTGAGGGGCTTGAATTCTTCACAAAATTCCGCCAGCTTTGTGTGAAGGTGTCTCTACAGCAGTCCTCAAGATTTAGGGTGCTGGTCTTGTAGCTTGTGCCTGACCCTCCAGCGCTTACGCAAGCCCTAGTAAACCCTTCATCAAAACCCATGAGTCCCATGACACCAGATCTTATTCTTATTCGTATGGATCCCAGCTTAGGTGTGGAGGGCATCGACCCAAAACCCCAAACCGGTTTAGGTTTCAGGGTTCAGGTTTGAGTCCTCGGGGTCGGGATTAGGGCTTTGTACTGGTAGGGTCTTGCCAGGCAGGACTCGTGGGCCATGATGCGCCCGAGCGCCGCAGTGTGGCGGCAGCGTGCCGCCCACCGGGGCGTCAGTGGGAGGACGTCTGGCTTAGGGTTTAGTAAGTAAACTCAACTTAGATAGCGACCGGGGGAACTTTAAACTTTTTGGTCTTATATCTTAGCTCTATCTTAGAAAGTTTGAACTTTTTGGGGCCGGGTTGTTGAAGAAGAGAGTCAAAGGTTGGGGCGGTTGGGGGCTTCGGATTCGGGGATTTAGGGTTGTAGAGTTAAAAGAACACGACCCCAGAGAACCAGCAGAGCCAGTAGCAGAGACTAGTTTGAGAGACTTTGTGTTTCACATGTTAACGCATGATAATGCGACGTTTGGCTCAAGAAAAAGAAGGGCAATGCAGTTAGATGCCCTGGTTCTTTAGAGGGTTGGCCGGGTTTAAGTACCTTCCTTCCCTCTTGATTGGTTATCAGCCGTAGCTCTTTGTTTCCTTTGGTTTCCTACTTGAACCCGGCCGCAGGGTTTTAGTGGTTCTTCCCCCTGCCATAGCAAGAGCGCAGCCTTAGGCGCGCTGGTGGGCAGATTGCTAGTGGGGTGCTGCCTTGTGCGCACCGGCTAGCATATGCCACCAAAGGGCGAGGCACCTGCCGGAGACAAGCCCTACAGAGGGGGCCGCGCAGGAGCGAAGAGGAGGAAGCTTCACTTTTACCAAGCGCAGGACGCGTTGATCCATCTTGCTGAGACGGTACAAAATATAATCGTGCAGAGGAGGAGCTTTGAAAACGTTACCGAGGCCCACTACGACACGATTATACGGTTCGGCCAGATTACAGAGCAAGTTGACGTATATCACCCTGTGTGGGCAGATTTGGTCGAGTACTACCCGGAGTTGTGGACTGCTTTTTCGGACGTCGCGGAAGAGCCTGCCACTGGGTCAGGAGCTCGCTGGAGGCCGAAAGCCGCAGCAAAGGCAGCTGGGTCGGGGGGTGCTGCTTCTAGCGCACCACAGGAGGAGGAGCAGCCAGCCGAAGAAGCGTCAGCCGCGCCCGCCGAGGGTGCAGCCCCTGGCGCACCGACACCTCCGAAGGCGCCGGCTCTTGGAATAAGGGGACCCACGCGGGACCTTTATTACAGGGGCCGGAGCGACCCGCTGAGGCAAAGGAGGGTGCCAGCAGAGCCAGAACAGATCATTGAAGACACTGGCGCGAGAGCATCATCCGAGCCACCGGCTGCCGAGGGCGAGGTGGATCTGTCGAGAGCCGGCGGGAATCCGGCAGAAGATTCCCTGCGATCTGCCAGGCGTGTCCGCACCCCGCCGGCGCGGCGAGCACAAGAGGAGGCACGCCTGGAGGAGCTTAGGCTCCGCGGCTCGGTGTTTGCCTCTTTTAGGGACGCCGAAGACGCGGAGCCCGAGCAGGCAGAGCAAGCAGCCGGCGAGGAGGAGACCGAGGAGATAGAAGTAGAGGTCGAGGTTGCCCAAGGTGACGACCGGGGTGCTGCCGAAGGCGCACCAGACGACGAGCCAGCAACCGAAGGCCGACAGGCAGAAGGCGCCGAGGAGGAAGAGGCAGCAGAGGAGGACGAGGCAATAGACGTGCACCCTGCCTCGGAGGCAACAGTTTCTCCAGCCACCTCGGAAGCCGCAGCCCCAACACGAGAGATCCGTGTGAATCTTGGCAGGGGCCGGGGTGTGACCCGCAGGCCACTCATCCTTGCACCTCCCACCGAAACCTTCCCAACGGTTCGGGTTGATAGTCACGGTGCTTGGGTTCGGGTTAGGGATTCCGGTGCGGTTCCCTCCTTTCAGCGTCGTGCCGTGCCCCCCCCGAGGGTGCAGCGCACCGCGCACCAAGGGGACGCAGAAGAAGCTCTAAGTCACCCGATCCGTTTGATCTGCCAGACGACGCGTGGATCGACCCCAGTTCCTACCGGGAGGTCTACACAGCTAGTGGGGTTCCTAGGGGTGTGTCAGTAGCGCGCATAGAAACCAGCTCTTCCGAAGAAGACACAAGGCAGCGGGGTGCTGCCTCAGGCGCACCGGCAACACCCAGGGCACCTCCACAAAGGCGACCGTTCCGGCAGGGCGAGATCGTGGAAGCCGAGGTGGAAGAGACAGCGGCCTTAGGACAGCGGCGGCCCGCAACACCTGAGGGAGAGCCTCCAACCAGGCGCCCCCGTGTAGTCCTTACCCCCGCTTCTAAGGCACCCGGTGTCCCCACCGCAGCCAGCGCACCATTGAGGGTGCCGCGCCCGCCTCCAAGGCCAGGCCCAGGACAGCCGAGGCAAGCACAGGCATAGGTCAGGCCAGGCGAGGTGCAAAGGCAGAGCCCATAGAAGCCGTTGAGGAGGCAGGGCCCAGAGAGCGCACGAGAACCCCGCGCCGGGCAGAAGCAGCTCCCCCAAAGGGTGCTGCAAAGGCGCACCGGGGTCGAGGGCGCAGCGGGTCGTGGCCACCCAAGCGGCACGCATCTTCTTCACCAGAGGGTGCAGCTTCTGAGGGTGATTCCCCAAGGTCACGCGCACCGGTGACGAAGGAGAGTCTGCCAAAGACGCGGCAGCCACAGCCGAAGCTTCCCTCAAAGGTGCCTCCGACTGACAAGTACGGGATTAGGTATAAGTCGCCCCCTGCGCCAGCGCCGCCCGCGCCAACGGGGTCGGCAGCAACAGCAGTATATAAGGGCCCGCCTCACTCCGTGTTTGTGGCCAATATCAGCAGGGGAGGCCAAGAGCAGCCCAAGGCGAGCACAAAGGCTCCACCGCCGATCGTCACAGGCAATCGCCAGAAGCTAGCGTACCACGCGTGGGCGCAGCAGACGCGTGACGAGGAGAACGCCGAGGCCGCAGCTTCAAGCGCGGCGGCTGCCAGTTCTTCGCAGAGGGTGCTTGCTACGCGCACCGAGGCCACTATCGTATTCGACTGGCACCACGTCTTGGACAAGGCCTGCATCGAGTCCAGAGGTGCCACCTGGGACACAAAGCCTGGATCCCACGGGTACTTTAATACTGAATTTGTGGCCGCGCTAAAGGATTTCTGCGAGGAACACAAGCCACTGCGATTGGCAATTCTGAGTTACAGCACGCAATCCACCGCTCCTTGGTACCGCTTCCATTTCCTTGAGGAGGCCCTAGAGTGCTTAAGGGTGGCGTTGCCTTTGAGCATCAACCTTAGCATTGGGCAGACGTACCAGCGCACAGGACCGGACGGAAAAGCGCAGCAATTGTGCCAGATAGTGCCGCCAGCAAGCGTCGTGATCGACGACAACCGAGGCATTATCAAGGAGTGCGCCAAAACCGGCGCACTCACGGTACAGGCTCAGAAGGGAGGAGGCGTCGACCAGTTGATCTACGAGCTCAACCAGGCAAGTGCTCTGATCAAGCGGCGTGGGCGCAACAACCTGCCCACGGCTCGTCACCTCGAGCCCCAAGAGCTGCTATACGAGAAGTAGCGCCCTAGGGTGCTGCTTTAGGCGCACCGGGCCGGCTGCTCCAGCCTGCGTGCCGCCACCGTTTTGCCAGCTTGCGGTGCCCGAGGGTGCCGCTCCAAGCGCACCGGGCCACCTTAGTGGTTTAGTGCCTTGGGTTTTGTAGCATAGGGGTTGCAAACGTCAGCTCCCTGCCTCTCGGAAGGCCGCCGGTTCAGCACAACACCTCCTCTCGCAGCGCCCTAGGGTGCTGCCTGTGGCGCACCGGGCCGGGTAACAGGTCTAGCGTGCATTGTGGTTTTAGTGCTGGGTGGTGGTCCTTAGGGGTATTGTACGTTACTTTTGCGTGTGTGTGCTGCATTTTGCGCACAGCCGTCGGCACACACACTTCTTTCAGAGACGCTTGGCGCCCAAACGGGCCAGCCACCGCGTGCATACCAGTCACAAAAGTCTTTTCGAGAGTGGTTGCGTGAGGGGTCCTGTTTTCTTGCCCCCTCCCTTTTGCCCTAAGGTTCTTTTGGGGATTCTTTCGGGTCCCGGCCGATGGCGGTTTTCGTAGACAGGGTGTTGTTTGGGCTCAAAGGCTCAAGCTTCAGGAGGTGAAGCCATGTCAGGCATCTCCCCACCATCAGAAGACCGAAGCCGAAGCCGGACATCAGGGGAATCCTCCTTTAGCGACCCAGAGCTTTTTAGCGGTCAGGCCTTGGTCCCGGCCGCAGCAACCATTCTTAGGATCCGCGAACCAGCCCCCACACCACAAAGGAATGAGGGGTATAGCTCGTCCTCCGCGGCGTCTCCCCCACAAAGGGGTCCCGAGCATAGCGCAACACAAGCAACCTTTCTTGCAGGTGCCGCCGTGACACACGCCCACCACGCCTCCGGCGTTGCCTTGGGTGCTGCGTCCCTCGCGCACCAGGCTGCAGAAAGGGAACAGCAAACAGTTACTCAAGCTAGGGAGGCCGTAATGCAAGCTAGCTTTCAAGCTGCAGCGGCCGAGGCACAATACCGCGACGAGGCCCAGACGATTGCACGGGCTGCGCAGGGTATCGTGGATGATGCTAGGTATCGAGAAGCTAGCCTTAGGCAAGAAGCCCAATCCGCCATTGACGCCACCACTCGTGAGGCTCAACAACGGGTCTCAATGATTCAAGGTGAGGCCCAGCAAGCCATAGCCCAAAGCAACCATTCAGCACAAGCTAGAATAAGGTTAGTTGAGGGTGAGGCTAGGGGTTTATCAGAAGCTCTCCGGCAAGCCACTTTGGCACGGGAGCAGGCTGAGGTCGATAGGCAGGAAGTGGTGCAGCGTTTGCGTCAACGCGACGCTGATATTGTGAGGCTAGCAGACGAGATGGAGTCGATGCAGCGGCGTCACGAGGAGGCAATGGCCGTCATGGCCGAGCGGTACCGTGATCTGTCTGCTAAGTTTGTGGAGAGTAGCAACGCCCAAGCGCAGCGAACCCCCACAAGAACCCGTCTCTCTTTTCCGGAGATGTCTTTCTCCCCGGACACAAGCCAAAATGATGCGGTCCAACAACCCACAACCCCTGTGATCGAGCCAGTGCCTGAGGAACAAGAGACCTTAAGCACCCCGCTTGTTGCACAACCAACAGGCGAGAGCGATGCGCCCCAAGAGGGTGCAGCCGCTGGCGCACCAGGGGGGGAGGCCAGCTCAGGGTCTCCCGAAGATCCACAGCCTACTTCAGTAGACCAAAGGGTTGATGAATTGGCTAAGTTGGTTTCCGATTTAGCGAAGTTGGTCGCAGCTAGTGCCGCGCAGTCTGGTAGTGCAGCCGCGCCTTCGGGTGCAGCCCCAAGCGCACCAGCAGAAGCACATGCCGACCCACCACCTCAGGTACCCACCTTGAACCTAGGAGGCACCACTCAAGCCACAGCGCCCCCAGGCTCACCCGGATCAGGCGGATCATCCAGCTCATCGTCCTCATCTGATTCCTCAGCAAGGTCCGAGCACCCAGCATGTAGGATGTGTGGTTCTAAGAAACACGCAGAAGAGGAGTGTCCAGAGCTCACCTGCAACAAAGATGGAGGTGATGATCCAGCCCCTGACGGTGATGGGGCCGCAGCTTCAAGCGCGGCGGCTCCGAAGACCAATGCAGAGCTTGAAGAGGACACCATCAGAGTGAAATCGCTTTCTGATTTATCCTTCCCAAACCCGCCACAAAACGCAGCGCAAGCGAGAGGGTTTGTGAATCAGACCTTGATGGCCATTGGAAAGCTCCAGAAGACCCCAGGCGATGAGGTATACATCTGGGCACAAGATTGCCTAAAGAAGGAGCCTGCCGCACTTTGTAAGGATGGACGCTTCCCTCGCCTTGACCGCGAGATCGCCGCTAAGCTTATCAAAGTGTGTCGCCACGGTCGCTTCGGGTTGCTATTCCAGCAGATGGTTGAGTCTGAAAGGCTTAAGTCGGGTGGCATGCCCAATGGGCGCTGCATGCTGCGCGCCATATACAGTCACTTCCAGTTGGAACGTGATCGTATGGGTATGTTAGCGGAACGTAACCTCCTGAACATTAGGATCGGAGGGGATGGTATTTCCCATCTGGAGGCATTTCGTGATAAATATCACTACGTCGCCAATACCATTCCTGTAGAGGATCTCCCTAAGGACAGTACGATCTTCAATCATCTTATCGATGAGTTCGAAAAGGTTTCAGTTCTTAAGCCCAAGGTAGAGAAGGCAAGGGAAGCAAGGCCGGGATCACACCGTCGCACCGCCGCATGGTTGTGGAACCGCGTGGACATTGCAATCGACTTGCACCAGCAGCGTGTCAATCGACAGGAGTTCGATAAGTCCTTGCAACAGAAGCCAGAGACCTTGACTTCCACCTCCCAGCCTTCAAAGCCAAGTGTGCCCGCAACACCCGCACCGGGTGCTGCCGCAGGCGCACCGAAAGGAGGCGCTACCGACAAGCCGCCGAAGAAGGAGAAGAAAAAGAAGAAAAAGAAAAAGAAAGACGAGGGCGAACCCGAGGTTGAGGTCCCAGGCGCACCTGCCCCAAAGGGCAAGGGCAAAGGCGGAAAGGGCGGAAAGGGCAACGGAACACCACGAAGCCCGAAAGGTGGTGATACGACGCCCAGATCTGCTCAGGCCAAAAGCGCCAGGAACATGACCCCGGAGGAGAAGGCCAAGACACCGTGTATGTTTTGGGCGTTCGGCGCCTGCAAAGGCGACCCCTGTCCGTTCCTTCACGACAGCAAGAACAAGTACACTGGTCCTAAGCCCAAGTCACTCGCAAAGCCAGACGCTAAGGCTAAGCCTAAGGCAAAGGCGAAGGCGAACGCTGCAACGGCACCGTTAATCAATGCTCTCCCCGCCGAGCTGAACCAGGATGGCAAGATCACTTGGCTTTGGGACACGGCAGCAGGTAGGCATTTGATAGGTCGCCAGGCGCTTTCCTCCAAAGCCCTTTCCTGTGTCACCCGCTCCGAGACACCTGTTGGTTTTGCCACTGGTGGCGGCGCGCGTGAAGGCACTCACAGCCTCGCGTTTGAGGGCAGCCGGTTGTTACCTTCAGAGGAACAGGTCTACGTGCTTAAGGAGTGTCCACCAGCCTTTTCTGTAGGTAAAGCTGTCCTTGACGAGGGATCCTTGTTTGTCTGGGACCCTCGAGAACACCGTCCTTACTTTGTGAAGAAAGAGGACGTGCACCGCTGCAAGCTTCGTATCCCGCGCAAAGCGAGGATCAATGCGACCAGGGTCGTAGAATATGTCCCTCAGTTCGAGGAGACATTGCGCCCGGCAGTAAGGGAACAGAGCCCAAGCCTAAGTCCCATTACTGCATCGGCATCCCCTGCGCCGAAGGATGATGATACTGTGTCGTTCAGCGATTTCGAGGTCGCAGATCTCGAAGAGGCTGAAGCGAGCTATCCTCGCACAACCTCTGGCGATTATGATTGGGAAGCCGACGTCGTCGAGAAGCATGCAGAGAAGAAGGCTGAAGCAAAGCGGCTTTTTCGTGAAGGCGCTGTAGGTGAGACAGCTGCCAGTGAAAGCTCCGAAGAAGAACTTTTTCCTGAACTCTTCAAGGGAAAGCCCGCAAGTACGCAACAGCCTGCCGAAGGCACAACAGCAAAGGAGGCTGCCTCAGGCGCCTCTAGTTCGCGTGAGGGGGCCGCTCCAAGCGCCCCTTCCACAGAGCAACCACCACCGTTGCCGCCTCCTCCAGAGCCCCACTCCAAGACCGAAGAACTTAGAGCCGAAGCCACTTCTGAGAAGCATCTTAGGACCCACTTCCCTAAGAATCCCTTCTGTAAGATCTGTCACCTCGCCAAGACCACCTCAATGCGTGTGGCTCACAAGCCCGATGCCAAGGCAGATGACATGATTGATGTCCCCACTGCTCCGTTCCAACAGCTTGCCACTGATGATGTCACCATGGCAAAAGGTGATGAACACCGAGGCATAGGAACTGGAGGGGTTAAGTCACATCATGTAGTAAGGGATGTTTTCTCAGGGGCTAGAGTTGCGTACCCTATGACGCGTAGGGGTGCTGCCCAGCATGCACGCAACTTCCGGCATTTTATAGGTCTAAGAGCAAACGAGATGTCGCCGACCTGCCTCGTTAAATTAGATGAAGCTGGCGAGTTGATCGTAGCGGCGGAGGAGGTTGGCCTGACCCCGGAACCCTCTCTCCCTAACAGATGGCCCCACAACGCCTTACTCGAGAGGGATATCCGCGAGGAAAAGGAGTGCTGCCGTGCTATCCACCTCCAGAGTGGACTTCCTTACGACATGCATTCTTACTCGTACCCGTACGCGTGCCTTTCTTTGTCCTTTGACAGGACGGCACCGCTAGGGGGGGTCACACAGTGGGAGGCCCTCACAAAGGAGCCCTTCAATGGGAAGAGGGCCTGTTTTGGGCAACTTGTCTGGTACCGCTCTAAAGGTTCTAAGCGCACTCTTGAACCCAACATGTCACCAGGTCTTTTCCTAGGGTGGCGGATAGACGCAGGCATGCGCTATCGCAATGTTGTTAAGGTTCTAGACTACAATGACTTTCGTGGTAAACGCAACACGTCTGTCCACGACGTGCCAGAACCTGAGTTGTACATAGAGGACGGTCCGCCCATCTTCCCAGTCGCGAATGCAACCCGCAAGGCGCTAGTAGACGGCTCCACCTTGAGTGCTGCCTCCGGCGCACTACCCGAGATCCCATTGCGGGAGATTCCCTTTGCTCTTGAAAGCATCGGGCCGCCGGCGCCCAGAACACCTGGCGTTAGGACGGTTTATATCACCGCCGATAGGATTGTTAAGTTCGGGGAGACTCCGGGTTGCTTAGCGTGTAGGGGAAAGGCCACAAAGCACACCGACACTTGCAGAGCACGCTTTGCCGAACTTGTTAAAGCAGACAAGGAAGAAGCTGCTGCAAGGAGGGCTGCGCTTCGCGCCCTGGGTGAGTCACCAGAGACTCCCGCGCCTAGCGTTGCTCCGGAAACTCCTTTTCCAAGCGCTGCTCCCGAAACTCCTGCTCCAAGCGTTGCATCCAGTACTCCTGTACCTCCAGCTTCCGCTACAGTGAGCGTTGTTTCTGCAGGCGCTGCCTTGCCACCGTGCACTGCCAGTACCACGTGTCTCCTAGACACTGTGCGTGGAAAGGAGAACCTACCTGTGTTTGGTCTAGCGGCTCCCTCTACACCGCGTTTCGGGGAGGACAAACCGCAACGGAGAGGTAACAAGCGGAGTCGAAGGAGAGGGAAGCCCACTAAGCTCACGACTGTCTTTGAGTACGCATGTTCCCCAAACTCAATGTTAGGGCGTGTGAACGAGGAGCTTGGAGTACCCCACGTACGCCTCGCCAAAGAAACTTTGGACGTTGAGAACGAGCTTGTGGCTGCCCAGCTGCACGAACAGTTCAGTGCGTGTCCTAAGAGTCACCTCTGGGTGTCTCTGCCGTGCACCTCTGGATGCCAGTGGCATCGCGTTCAGCTTAAGAGAGGTGGCGGTGAGTATCGCGCACGACTCCTGCAAAAGATTCATGGGTCTAAGAAGTTGTTCGCACAGTTTGTTGAGCATGCTAAGACCGCGCTTGACCTCGGGATTGACGTCACGTTTGAGTGGCCGAGGTATTCCGATTCATGGAAGAGGCCTGATGTAAAGGAGTTCTTTAAGGATCCTAGGTTTAAGGTTGTTGACTTTGATGGTTGTATGTTAGGTGTGTCTGCTTCAGGGGGGCAGCCGGTTAAGAAACCATGGCGCCTCATGACAACATCCGCATCTATCGTATCAGCCTTTGAAGGGATCACCTGCAACCATGATCCCAGTGAGCACGTTGAGGCTCGGGGAAAGGATCTTGAACTCACTGGGTTGTACACGCAAGAGATGTGTGAGCGCATCGCCTTTGCCATCAACCCCAGTAGGGCCTATATCTCGGTTCCTGCGATGCCGGTCTTACCCACTTCCACAACTACTGAACACCGCGAAAAGGAACAGGAACTGAAGCACGTTTCCGCTCTCAGCGGATACGAGGACCTTGCCGCAGTAATAGAGTCCGACCAGGAGGCTTCTAAGCTTGTAGAAGAAATCGTCGACCTTTCCGCCCTTATGTGTGCAGTCCATGGCATACCTAAGGAGGCACCCTCAAAGGAAGTGTCTGCAATGGTGACGAAACTTCTCTCTCGGGCCGAAATGCTCTCCTCACCTGAGGCCCTCAATGCGGTGAAACAGGAAGCAGACGGTCTTCGCGCAGTTCCTGTGTGGGACGAAACGAACCCGCAGGAATACGCTAGCGTCCAAGCGCAAGCGCGCCGCACGGGCACTAAGGTACACTTCGGCAAGCTGATGAGCATTGCATCCATTAAGTTTTGGGAACTTGCCAAGCACCTTCAGAAGGTTAAAGGCCGAATCGTGTACCGAGGTGACTGTGCGAAGGACGAAGAGGGCGCCGCAGCGGTTTACAGAGAGTTAGGTGCAAACCCCACCTCTGTTCAGGGACTTAATGCCTGTTTAGCTTACGGTAGCTTACCTGGCCATCAGTCTAGTGCCGCAGACGCCGTCAAAGCGTATGTGCAAGCTCTTCTTAAATCCAAGTACCAAACTTGGATAGAGCTACCACCTGAACTTCGTCCTGCTTGGTGGCGTGAGTGTTTTGCAAAGCCAGTAGTGCTGCTTCTACGCGCGCTGTACGGCCACCCAGAAGCAGGCGGACTTTGGGAGAAGCACCTTAAGGAGGTTCTTAGGAATATGGGTGGACAAGAACTGCCGGAATATCCAGGTAACTTTCGGTTTCCTGAGACTAAGCTCCTTCTTTCCACTTACGTTGATGATCTTACCCTCTCTGGACCACAGGAGGAGCACCAGCCGTTTTGGGATGCTTTGTGTAAGGTTGTTGATGTAGAACCCCCAGAGCCTGTGTATCGGATCTTAGGTCGCAATCATTGCACTATCAACGCTGAGCCTGAAGGCACCGAGAATGCTGCCCTAGGCGCATTAAGGGGTGCCATGGCGTTTGATATGTTTGACTACGCGCAACAGACCGTAGACCTTTACAAGGGCCTCACTGGCCTTAAGGCTCTAAAGCATGCTGCCACTCCCTTTGCTCCAGAGGCTTCACTTCCAGTGAGCCAAGAGGAGATCGCAGGAGAGCTTGCTCCTAATGCATGTAAGGTGTTAATGAAGGCCCTTTGGCTAGGCAGACTTGCGCGTCCTGACTTAGTCAAGCCGATAGGTGACCTCGCGACCAAGGTGCAAAAGTGGTCGAGGAACGATGATAAAAAGCTTCTTCGTCTGATAAGCTACATCGATTCCACTAAGACCCACCGCCTTGTAGGCACTGTATCGGACGGGCCAAGGGAGCTGCATCTTGCGCTCTACGTTGATGCCGACTTTGCAGGGGAAAGGGACGACGCCAAATCCACCAGTGGAGGTTTCTTAGTCCTAAAAGGTCCCAACACCTTCTTTCCTCTTGCATGGGTGTCTAAGCGCCAGACGTCTGTGAGTCGCAGTACCACAGAGTCTGAGATTGTGTCTTTAGCTCATAGCCTCTTCCAAGAAGCGCTTCCGGCATTGCAGCTCTGGCAGACCATCCTCGACTATCCGATCAGGTTAATCATTCATGAGGACAACCAGGCTACGATCCTAGTTGCGAAGAAGGGCTATTCGCCGAAGCTTAGGCACATAGCGCGCACCCATAAGGTCAATTTGGGTTCCATCTCTGAGGTGATTGATGAGGATGATGTAGACATTGAGTATGTCGATACAAACTTGCAGGCTGCCGACATCTTCACCAAAGCACTTCCACCACAAAAGTGGGATAATGCGTTGAAGTTGTTAGGCATGCGCCAGAACCTTCCCGAGATTCTGGTTGACACGAGACAGCTCAAGACCAAAGCCGGTAGTGGCCCTACCACCTCTCCCACTTCAGGGTCTAGTCCCAAGTAGTGGCGTTCACTTTTGCACAGCTTGCCGGAGGGAGCTGCTTTTAGCGCTCTTCCGCTAGGGGGGCTGCCATAGGCGCCCGTGTGCTTAGGGGGCTGCTTTAAGCGCCCCACTGTACAGTTCCGTAGTCTGCAGTTGACTCTGGCGAGGGGGGAGTTAAAAGAACACGACCCCAGAGACCCAGCAGAGCCAGTAGCAGAGACTAGTTTGAGAGACTTTGTGTTTCACATGTTAACGCATGATAATGCGACGTTTGGCTCAAGAAAAAGAAGGGCAATGCAGTTAGATGCCCTGGTTCTTTAGAGGGTTGGCCGGGTTTAAGTACCTTCCTTCCCTCTTGATTTGTAGAGGCTCTTCGGGTTTAGGCTTCAGAAAAGTCGCAGCCTCTGTTCACAGTCCCTCCCTAAACAAAAGCGCTCCAGGATCAGGCTTTGACGGCAAAGGTTGAGGGTTCAGGGTTTGGGGTTTAGGGCGAATCTGCTTTCGGCTCCACCTTTGGCGTTACTTTCGCATAGCTGCCAGCCAAAGCCAGCCGGACATCCTTCATCTAACCCTCTAAGCGCTTAGCCCGAAGCCCAATCACAGAAAACTGCAAATCCGAAAAGCTTTCACCTCTGATTCCTGAGCCGAAAAGCCAAGAAAATCAAGCCCCAAATCCAAGATTCTTCTAGACGCCAAAATCCAGATCCAACAAAGCAAAACGGCTAAAGCCACGAACCCAAACTTTCGCGGTGTGCAGGAAGACGGCCTCACCTTCGCAGAGTTTGCGGGCAAGCCGTTTCCCCGGCTTTTCGTGCATTAAGCAGTGTCTGCTGCTTTAGGATGCGTCAAGCGTGTTTTTCTTGATGCTTTGCAGGCTGAGGGATTGGGGCTTCTGGTTTAGGGCCGGTGGGGTGAAATCCTTTCAAAAAGAGGTGAGGAACACAGTCCCGGCGTCTGAGGGGCATGTCTTTGTGCTACCTGTCTTTATGCTACTGACTGCGTGAACCGCTAACGCCCTAAGCCCTAAACCCTAAACCCACTCTAAACCCCCGACCCCAGACAGCAGTTTAGGCGCAAGCCCTAAAGTGCCCAACACTTCAGCTTGTAGCAGGCTCCAGTCTTTGCGTTGCCTTGAGCGTCCGCTCTGCCACGGGTGTAGGGTTGAGGGTTTAGTATAGTATAGTATAGACTAGTATAGTATCGTCTAGTATAGTATAGTATGGTACTCCTGCTTAAATGTCCCTGAACCCGACACTACAAAGCAACATGCCGATTTCTGTGGATGTGCATTTGCTGAGTGGTAAAAGTATTTCTTTGGAAGTGGAGGGGGATTCATCTGTTGAGTCATTGCAACAGCGTGCCCAGAGTGCTCTGGCCACGGGAAGAGGGAGGCTGCTGAATTCTTCTGGAGAGGTCCTGGATAGAGCAAAAACTATCACAGAAGCAAAATTGAAGAACGGAGACGAGCTCACATTACATGTGAAGCCAGCCCAACTCATAGCCACAAGGGGAAGCCAGATGTTCTCTGCCTTCGGTGCAATTCTTGGAGACGGACCTGTGGTTGCCTGGGGTGATGCCGGCTGTGGTGGCGACAGCAGTGCAATACATGATCAGTTGCGAGATGTGCAGCGGATCCAAGCTTCTGATCTGGCATTCGCCGCAATCCTGGGTGATGGATCTGTAGTCACTTGGGGCGAGGCCGACTATGGTGGCGACAGCAGTGCGGTAAAGGATCAGCTGCGAGATGTGCAGCAGATCCAAGCTTCTGATTTCGCGTTTGCCGCCATCTTGCGTGATGGATCTGTCGTCACCTGGGGGAATGACGACTCTGGTGGCGACAGCAGTGCAGTAAAGCATCAGCTGCAAGATGTACAGTGGATCCAAGCCTCTCATCGGGCATTTGCTGCAATCCTGATTGATGGATCCGCGGTCAGCTGGGGTGATGCTGACTACGGTGGCGACAGCAGTGCAGTACAGGATCAGTTGCGAGAGGTGGAGCAGATCCAAGCTTCTATGGCTGCATTTGCTGCAATCCTGGGTGATGGATCTGTGGTCACCTGGGGTGAAGCTGACGATGGTGGCGACAGCAGTGGGGTACAGGCTCAGCTGAGGAATGTGCAGCAAATCCAAGCTTCCGATTCATCATTTGCTGCGATTCTGGGTGATGGATCTGTGGTCGCCTGGGGTTCTGCCGACTGTGGTGGCGACAGTAGTGCGGTACAGGATCAGCTGCGAGTTGTGCAGCAGATCCAAGCTTCGCGTTGCGCATTTTCTGCAATCCTGGGTGATGGATCTGTGGTCTCCTGGGGCAGTGCCGACTTTGGTGGTGACAGCAGTGCCGTCCAGGACCAGCTTAGGAGTGTGCAGCAAGTCCAAGCTTCGGATTGTTCTTTTTCTGCTATCCTGGGTGATGGATCTGTGGTCGCCTGGGGTAATGCCGACTATGGTGGCGACAGCAGTGTGGTACAAGATCAATTGCGAGATGTGCAGCAGATCCAAGCCTCTTACCGGGCATTTGCTGCAATCCTGGGTGATGGATCTGTGGTCGCCTGGGGTGATGCCGACTCTGGCGGTGACAGCAGCGCCGTACAGGATCAGCTGAGGAATGTGCAGCAGATTCAGGCTTCGATTGCTGCCTTTGCTGCGATTCTGGGTGATGGATCTGTGGTCACCTGGGGCAGAGAGAACTGTGGCGGCGACAGCAGTGTGGTACAGCATGAGCTGCGAGGTATGCATGGAGCAGATTCCGGTAAGCTTTGCAAGAAGCGATGTCTGCAATCCTGATATACGATACGATACCATACTAGTCTATACTATACTATACCATACCGAGTGATGTATTCGTGGCGGTTTGCAGTCCAAGACAGTATAGGCGTTATAGTCAGGCATCGCCCAAGCAGTGACTGGGCAGAAACCCATCTGAGCAAAAAAGGGCTCAACCCTCCCAGAAAAACCTTGGCGTTCTTCCGGCTGTCTCGTAGGACTAGCTTTTTGGATTTCCATGTGAACTACAATAAGGAGGCGAACAGTTTAACGTTTAGGAAGGGTTCAGACGCCAGCAAAAAAAGCCAAAAGAGATCGTAACCGCTAATACTTTAGAGACCTGCCCATAAACCATGAAGCCCTAAACCCCAAACCTTAACCCCAAACTCGTAAACTCTAAACCTTGAAAACGTAATTCCCAAGCAAGCCCGAAACTGCCGACAGCGACACTTGCATAGGCTTTCAGGCTCCGACCGAGGGTCTTGGGTGTGAAGGCTCCATCCCGGTATGCCTTAGATAGCGACCGGGGGAACTTTAGACTTTATGGCCTTATACATTAGAAACTTTGAACTTTTTGGGGCCCGGTTGTTGTTAGGAATTATGTTATATCTTTATTATCATACCAAGTAAGGGGGTTAATAATACTATTGGTCCTGTTCCGGTTCCAAGGGCGGCTAGGATGAGTCTACTTGGAGGGTCGGGAGACTGAGTAAGCAGGTAGTTTTGGAGATGTAAGTACTATAACCCCGATTCAGATCCTTGTCAGGGTCCTTATAACTCTACTTATGACCTAACATGAGGACCTGAAACCCTGGACCCTAGATTCCCACCCGACCCCGTCTCAGAAAGTCCTTCCGAACAAAAGGAGCCATGATCGATTTAGGGTTTAGGGTTTAGGGTTCGGGGTCTAGGGTTTAGGGGTGAGGGTTTCTGCGTTTCAGCTCAACGCTGGCAAGTGATCTGAACCTCAAGGAGCGGCAGGGCCATTGATATAAGTCATAGGCAGAGGAAGGCGTGCAGGGGTTCGGGGGGAACCCAAAGGCCCCCTTTGACAATAATTTGCATTGGGGTGGTTGGCATTGACTACATGCTGACGACCCATTCCTGAAGAAGCGCACCCGCCGAGTGCAGACTGTATACATCCTTAAACGCGAAGCGCTGAACCTTCAAACCCCAATCCTGTCAAAATCAGGCTTTTGGGTGCACCGGTCTAAAGGCTTAAATCCTAGGGTTTAGGGGTTTAGGGGTTTAGGGTTTAGGGTCTAGGCCATGCTCCACATTAAAGTCAAAGTGCCCTTGTAAGGATCGTGCCTACCTGCCGGGCCACTCTATCAGCCATGCGCCATGCGATCCGGCCGCAACCTTGCGCCGGATTCCTTAAGGGCTTAAGGTTTAGGGTTTATCGAATTCCTTAAGGGCTTAAGGTTTAGGGTGTAGGGTAAGTAGTCACAGTCGAAAGTTGTGAAGCAGTTCAGGGTTATAATTCCTGGAGGATCAGGCGGCTGTGTAAGCAGGAGTAGAGGTGACAATTTGTGGTGTTGTCAGTAGCTGTGGTTACCCTACTTGTAGCCTAGATTAAATCCGAAGCTCCTGATCCGAACACCCCGGTAAGACACTGAAGGAAGGCTTTTGAAAGCCTCAGGGAACCATCCTTGAACCTTAATTGGAGGATCATGGGACTTAGTAAGTAAGGTTATAAGTACCATAATTGGGGTTATGAGTATAGTTACCCTAATTATAACCCTAGTTACTAAGTCCCATGATCCTTTAAGTAAGCCGGAACCTGCAAGTCTCTTGAGGCATCAAGTAGTATTGAAGGTCTGGGGTTAGGAGGTGCTGTCCACAGGTTACAGAGGCTAAGTGCAGGGTTTTTGGTCTTGCAAAATTGGGGTGGGGGGGGGGGGGGTTCAGGTTTTCGGGTTATAGGGCTTTAGGGTTTGGTTAGGATTTAGGTTTAAGGTTAAGGGCTGAGGCCTGAAAGTGGGATTCCCAGCGCTTCGGAGGTTCTCAGGCGTTGTTGTTGGAGCGGTTCGCGCATTTTTTGCTTGACGGAGTGAGGCAGCTTGGAGATTTCAGGGTTTGCGTTGTGTATTTCACGTCCAGGGGTTAATGCAGGGTTTGAGAATTTCAAGTTTGGTTTGTTTTTGGCATCAGCGTGTCCCTTTATTCCAGAAACTTTGGTGCTCGGCTGCTCCCTCTCTCTCTCTCTCTCTCTCTCTCTCTCTCTCTCTCTCTCTCTTATTTTCTCCTCTACAACA